AGAAATGCTTTCCTACATAGAGATGCTCAGGCCGGTATCACTGTTCTGCTGTCACAGAGCCTAAGCCAAGGGCCAGCACGGTGGACTGTGCAGGAAAGTGCTCATTGAACAGGCTTTGGCTGCTCAACTGCTACGCATCCCAAAGGACTGGCCCCTGACCAGCTCCAGGAAGACAACCTGAGTCCTTGAACATCTGGCCTGGTAAGAGTGACTTTAGGCCTGTATCTGCAGGCCCCGCTGCATCAGTCTGACCAGGTAATTTATGCTAACAGTGTGACTCACAGAGAATGGTGGGTTTTGTATGCCTGAGGCTCTGAGCCACACCGTACGTTTGCCTTCTGCAATCCCACCGAGTATCTACGGTCAGTCACGAAGGTACTATATGCCTCAGGAAGAAACCCTGGACACCGAAGCTTGGGTGACTTTCCCTCATTGGCGACACTTGAACATATTGTCACACATCTTTGCCAAAAGAGTTAAGCAAGCCCCTGTGTGACTGCACTGGGAGGGAACACCTGGAAGCTTGGCTCAGTTTCCCCTGGACTTTTTACCGTGTGCCTTTTTCCTTTGGTGACCTTGACCTGTGTCCTTGAGCTGGCACAGACGGAGTATAACGGCAGTTATCTGAGTCGAGCGAATCCTCCTAGCAACCCATCAAGCAGGAAGGTGGTTTGGGGGAGCAAAGAACCATATGTATACACGGTTATGATCTAGATGGTGTGCTGGTAAAGGTTCCCTGAGGACGTGCCATTTGAGATGAGATGGGAGGGCTAAGCATGCACTAACTAGGCAGTGTGGGGAGGCAAGAGGCCATAGCAGGTGGGAAAGTGAAGGAAAGGGAAACAGCAAATGAAAAAAGAGACCAGAGTTGTGCATGAGAAAAGGAAGTAAATTAGGCACATCCCACACTAGGTAAGGCCCCATGGATGGGCCATGTTAAGGATTTGGTTTTTATCCCAATAGTGAAGGGAAGTCATGAAACATTTGAGGGAAAGGGGGTGGGGGTGAACCCACCATGACCAAATAGGAGCCATATCTCTGGCTTCAGTGTGGAGAATCGACTGGAGGATAAAAGCAGAAGCTGAGGTGTCAGATGATGTTTGGAGGGACCAGGGAGGGGGCAGTGGATTGCACAGCAGCAAGGTCCCACATGGGAAAACTTCACAATGACAACACCTGCTTGACACAGAAATAGAAGAATAAGCAGGGACTTAAAAAAAAAAAGTCATCCAGCAACTAAGAACAAGTCCAGGAAGTATAACCAGGCAGTCTGACTAGAGGGCCCATGCTCTTCCCCTCCCCTCCAAAACCCTCAGTTTGTTTCTCAGAGTCCATAGTCTGTCATGGTTCGTCTCCCCCTCTGATTTCCCCCCCTTCATTTTTCCCTTCCTACTATCTTCTTTTTTTTAACATACAATGTATTATTTGTTTCAGAGGTACAGGTCTGTGATTCATCAGTCTGACACAATTCACAGCACTCACCATAGCACATACCCTCCCCAATGTCTATCACCCAGCCACTCCATCCCTCCCACCCCACCCCCCACTCCAGCAACCCTCAGTTTGTTTCCTGCGATTAAGAATTCCTCATATCAGTGAGATCATGATACTTGTCTTTCTCTGATTGACTTATTTTGCTTAGCATAATACTCTCTATTTCCATCCACATCATTACAAAAGGCAAGATTTTCTGGGTTTTTTTTTTTGATGGCTGCATAATATTCCATTGGATATATATACCACATCTTCTTTATCCATTCTTCTGTTGATGGATATCTTGGCTCTTTCCATAGTTCGGCTATTATGGACATTGCTGCTATAATAATCAGGGTACACGTACCCCTTTGGATCCCTACATTTGTATCTTTGGGGTAAATACACAGTAGTGCAACTGCTGGGTCATAGGGTAGCTCTATTTTCAACTTTTTGAGGAACCTCCATACTGTTTTCCAGAGTGGCTGCACCAGCTTGCATGCCCACCAACACTGTAGGAGCGTTCCCCTTTTCTGCATCCTCACCAACATCTGTCATTTCCTGACTTGTTAATTTTAGCCATTCTGACTGGTGTGAGGTGGTATCTCATTGAGGTTTTGATTTGGATTTCCCTGATGCTGAGTGATGTTGAGCACTTTCTCATGTGTCTGTTGGCCATTTGGATGTCTTCTTTGGAAAAATGTCTGTTCATGTCTTCTGCCCATTTCTTGATTGGATTCTTTGTTCTTTGGGTGTTGAGTTTGATGAGTTCTTTATAGATTTTGGATACTAGCCCTTTATCTGATAGGTCATTTGCAATTATCTTCTCCCATTCTGTCAGTTGTCTTTTGGTTTTGTGGACTGTTTCCTTTGCTGTGCAAACGCTTTCTATCTTGATGAAGTCCCAATAGTTCATTTTTGCCCTTGCTTCCCTTGCCTTTGGCAGTGTTTCTAGGAAGAAGTTGCTGCGGCTGAGGTCGAAGAGGTTGCTGCCTGTGTTCTCCTCAAGGATTTTGATGGATTCCTGTCTCACATTTAGGTCTTTCATCCATTTTGAGTCTATTTTTATATGTGGTGTGAGGAAATGGTCCAGTTTCATTCTTCTGCATGTGGCTGTCCAATTTTCCCAACACCATTTGTTGAAGAGACTGTCTTTTTTCCATTGGACATTCTTTCCTGCTTTGTCGAAGATTAGCTGACCGTAGAGTTGAGGGTCCATTTCTGGGTTCTCTATTCTGTTCTATTGATCTATGTGTCTGTTTTTGTGCCAGTACCATGCTGTCTTGATGATTACAGCTTTGTAATAGAGCTGGAAGTCTGGAATTGTGATGCCACCCATGCTTTTTTCAAGCCCAGCTAGTATCTTTATATATAATCGTCATTCTGAATTCTAGTTCCGACATCTTACTAATGTCTGTATTGATTAGGTCCCTGGCAATTGGTACTGCCTCGTGTTTTCTTTGAGGTGAGTCTTTCCATTTTGTCATTTTGTCCAGAGGAGAATAGATGAATGAGAGAACAAAATGCTAACAGGGTAAACGACCCCAGAAAAATATACACTAAAGAAATCAGAAGAGACCTGAAACCGGGGGGAAATAAAGGGAAAGAAAAAAAAGAATATGATCAAATATGATCAGGCTGGTGAATAGATCATTGCCACACACCAGATTTTGGGCATATTTTGGTCTGTTAGAAGAAACTGCCTCCCAAAATTTTAAAGAAAGGAAAACATATATGTACAAAAATAACGGTAAATATGATGAAGGGATGGAATACGACTGTAAAGATGAAAATTATAAAAGATTCAATAAAAGGAATTGATAAGAAGTTGGTTGAAAAAGAAGAGAAATTAAAGAAAAGCGGGTGGGAGAGAATGTGATCAGGCAGGAGACTAGAACAAAGGCATACACTAGAGATTTAGGGTATATTTCGGTCTGTTAGAAGAAACTGTATCTCAAAATTTTAAAGACAGAATAACTTATATATACGCAAAAAATAAGGTTAACTACAATGAAGGGATAGAATATGACTCTAAAAATGAAAAATAAAAAAGATTTTTAAAAAAGGGATCGATAAGATGTTGGTTGAAAAAGCGAAAAAGAAAAATTAAAAAAAAAAAAAGAAAAATAAAAAAAAGAAAAATAAAAAAATTAACTTTGAAAGACTAAAGAATCATGGGGGAAAAAGCCATGAATTCTATGTGCTGTATTCCCCTAGTGCTGGAGTTCTGCCGTTCTCATTGATCAGTAACTTGGTCTCTTGGTCTTGGCTGGAAGGGGCCTGTTGCAGTGATGCTCAAATGTCTTTGCCCAAGGTGTAATTGCCCAGCCCTTGCCAGGGGCCGGGCTAGGTAATCAGTTCAGTTTTGCTCTCAGTATCTTTTGTTCCCTGTAAGTTTTCCATACAGCTTTGGAGGAGGAGAAAGAAAATGGCGGCCTCCCAATCTCCTCCCTGGAGGAGCTGAGAACTCGGGGTCCCACTCCTCAGTGAGCCCCCAGAGAAAAGCGGTCAATCACTCCTATCTCTCTGGTCTCTGGCCGTACACAGTGCTCACCCGGCCTGTGACCTAGTGTTTCTTTTCTTTTTTTTTTTTTTTAAAGATTTTATTTATTCATTTGAGACACAGAGATACAGAGAGAGAGAGAGAGCATGAGCAGGGAGAGAGGCAGAGGGAGAAGGAGAAGCAGGCTCCCCGCTGAGCCAGGAGCCCGATGCGGGGCTCGATCCCAGGACCCTGGAATCATGACCTGAGCCGAAGGCAGACGCTTAACCATCTGAGCCACCCAGGCGCCCCTGACCGAGTGTTTCTATCTCTGGCACACGACCCCGTTTGGAGTCTCCAAACCCAGCAGATTCCTGCAGTGCGCTTCCGCGCCGCTCCTGGGGGAGGAAGGGCAGTCTCCCCAGATCTGCCGCTTGCTGGGTCCCTGCTTCCAGAAAGTGGTCGCTTTTCTGTTCAGAGAGTTGCTGCTATTCTTTTCTTCGATCTCCTGTTGAGTTTGTAGGTGTTCAGAATGGTTTGATACCTATCTAGCTGAATTCCTGGGACCAGACGAAATTTAGGTCTCCTATTCCTCTGCCATCTTGCTCCTCCTCCTAGAGGGCCCATGCTCTTGACACTCCAGTGCTCTAAGGAAGGCAAAACCCAGTTGCCCATTTACAATTTAGCTCAGACCATTCACTTGTGACACGTGTAACCTACCTGTGAGCAAGCCGATTACAGGTCATTAACCCTCCAAACTCAAGGATGACATCACTGAGCATTTCAGAGGCCTCCCCGCATCGCACAACTGAGACAGGAAAGGCCATCTGTGGGCCAAGTGTGAGGAGAGAGGGAGCTGCGCATACTCCCAGAGGCCAGATTCCCACAGGCCTCCAGCATCAGGTCTCTGTAGAGAGCCCTCCCAGCTGGAGCCCAATGCTCCCACTCCCTCCCAGTCACTCCCTCTGACAGATCCATCAACCTGATGATGCCTGCAACACCACATTCTTTAATCCCAAATTATGCACATATAATGATGCAGAAATTATTATGACAACATATTTAATTTTCTCTTTTTGGAGCCAAAAGCTACATGTTTTAACAGTGGGAACAAAGAGTAAATGAGAACTCACTGACATATGTGCAAAGTAAATAACAGCATTGACCTGGCCATTTTATCTTTGTAGAAATAAAGGCAAAAGAAGGAATATTTGCAAATCAAATCACCTGAAGCCTTATCTATACAGAGGCAAGAGCCTGTCTCACCAGTCTCTGCACTTTGTCACTGGTAAATTAAACCCTACTTTGTAAGAATATCTACTGTGACTTGTTTTAGTTACAATGGTTTACATGTATATAATCCGTGACCTCAAAGCTAGGACTTTTTCACTGCAGCAAACTGTATTTGTTTAATGCTTGTAAAAGATACTTGAATTTACTCAACATTTTAGTACCATTCAAGTCACTGTGAAGAAACAGCTGACATCACAGGCCTGAGACTATTATCCTTTGAGATTCAAAGTTTGCCCTTGGCTAGAGTTTGGGACCTTATATTTCAGGAGATTTCCCATAATTCTCAGAAAAGACAAATGGCTCCGTGTGCCTATTGCTTGTGTCAACAATGTGGCTTATGCTGGTGATCTGCTATCCTTCTGGAGGTCTAGAATTTTGGTTATATTTTAGAGAAACCGTCCCCAATAATAACCCTGTGCATGGAGTTTCTTTCTAAGATTTTCTTTATTTTAGAGAGAGCACAAACTGGGTAAAGGGCAGAGGGAGAAGCAGACTCAAGTGGGGCAAGAGGCAGAGAGAGAGGGAGAAGCAGATTCCCCACTGAGTAGGCAGCCCAATGCGGGGCTCGATCCCGGGACTCCAGGATCATGACCTAAACTGAAAGCAGATGCTTACCTGACTGAGCAACCCAGGTGCCCCATGGCATGGAGTTTCTAATGTGCTTCCGTAGTAGACATTTCACAGATGCTGTCATAACTCATTGATGCAACTTAAGGACGCAGCACTCTTTAAGAACTTTAGTACTTCTGCCTTCTCCCTTGGCTGATTTTGCTTTGTATCCTTTTGCTATAATAAATAAATCACAGCTGTTGAGTATATGCTGAGTCCTTTGAGTCTTCCTAGTAAATCATTAAATCTGGGGTAGTCTTGAGGACTTTCAATACCAACATTCATTATGCAGTCAAATGTTCTACCACTGAGCTATACCCCCACACCTCCACCACCATTCATTATGACTTTTTAAGTCTTAGAGATCTGGCCATAAAAGCCGGTGTGGTTTCTCTCCGAAGTCAGCATATGCTATTTACTGTGCCAACTATATACACAGCTTTGTGTAACCACTCTGTGAGGGACCCAAACATTATAATAAAAATATACTGCTGTGTGTGGCCATTTACTAAGACACACACACATTAAGTGTCTACTAAGGAAAATAAAAAGCTAAAGACAACAGAAGGATACACTGGATGCAGGGATAATGAAAGAAAAATGGGCTGCAAGGTATCCAGCTCGGGCAACAAGACAGAACACAGTGGGATTCACTGAGATGTTTCTCAGGCACCTCAAACGTGATGTGTAAAACCAAATGCCTCCTGTAGCCCTCTTCTACCTCCCTACCATCTGAAACCCAGAGATTTTCTATAAATCCCTACAACATTGTAACAGATTATGCAGCTGTTAAAAAGTTAAGTTTGGTTTATCTCACTCAACCTGAAGGAATGGCCAAGGTGTAGAGTCAAATGAGAAAAGGGGATTATAGCTAAATGAGCATAATTTGATCCATTTTAATAAAAATGATGGTGACCAGGAAGACAGACTTATCCTATGAGAAGGAATATAGGAAAGGACACGGACATGAATCCTGCAGCTACCCTAACTGGCCTCAAATCCCTAATCTCATATTTCTTGGTTAAATGTACATCTCTTGGTAAATCCCTTAGCCTTTCTGTACCTCAGTTTTCTGATCTGTAAAAAACAGGGATAACATCACCTACCACAGGCATGTTGCAAAGGTTAAGAGTTGATGTGTGTAAAACATTCAAAACAATGACTGAAACATGGTAACATACCATGTCTGCTTGCTCTCATTATTACTGTGGGTGCATCCTCATGGTGATGGCCATGACCACATGACACATGCAGACAGGCTCAGTATGTATGAATACTGATAAGGTGTGGAAGGATGACCAGAGAGAAACATTCAACCTGGAGACAAGAATTTGGGGAACTCTGTACATCACTGAGCATAAAATACCTTGAGGGGGGGAATTAACTCACTCATGGAACACCTTGCAAGTGAGAAAGCAAGGGCAACATTCTGAGAAGCACCACTGTTTAACAGATGGAAGAAGACACAGATCCTCTGAAGGAGTAGGGCATGAACTCAGAGAAACCAGGAAAGGACCTTCAAGTCAAACAGGTAGGCAGCAGTAAAAAGGTCCAATAACAGACCTGGGGGGGGGGCGGTGGAGAAGGGTGGGAGGACGGTGGAGAAGGGTGGGAGGACAAGAGGGAACTTTGTGAGACTTGCCTGTCAGGTGACAGTGGTGGAGACCACCGTTTAGTTGTCAGTGGGGTGAAGGGTCATGAGGGGGTGGGGACAGACAGTGGACAGAACAGTTAAACAGGGTGTGTCTATGAGAGAAAAGAGAAGGGCACAGCTCACTGGGCATGTGGGGCATAAAGTGCCTGGGGGCGAGACTAGAGACTTGAACACAGGTATAGATTAAGAGGATAGAAGGGGATTAAGAGGGAGAAGTTGAAGACCAAGCAGTGGGGGGTATAAAAGAGGTCCTAGACAAATCAGAGATTGGGGATATGTGTCCAACCACAAAGAGGAAGAGTGATCCTTGAAGAGGAGGGACCTCTTTCTCCTTTGAGGCTACACAGGTATTTACTGTTTTTCAAAAGTTTGCTTATACCACTTTGCTTCTATAAAAGACCTACATTAGTACTTGTTTTCAGTAACCAAAAGATATCTGAGGATTTTCGCTTGTACCAAAATGTACCAGCGTTTGTTTCGTAGCAAGCTGTTACAGAGGCAGTCAACACCCCAAACAGCAAGACTGGAACCACCAAGCTCCTTCCTCAGGAACTACTCAGAATCTCAGCATTGAGCCACCATAGCTTTGAACTGTGTCTGTGAGCATCTGGGTTTTATCTTGATTTATTTTGTGCATCTGTTACCAAGATGTCCTAAAGTATCTAGAAAAGCCTGAGAGAGGTTATTTTTTGAGTCTGGGAATGCTAAAAAATTTTTTTCATATAAATGAATGGTAATTGCTTCTTTGCTTTATGCCATTTCAGCTTAGAAAAGGTTTCACAGAAATGCTCTACTTTCTAATAGCAAGGGGGGGGGGGTTATAGAGAGCTGGGGAATTTTACACAGAAACCTTTCCTGGAGAACAAAACTCTTGACATCCTGCATATCACACTCAGTTCTAATGTCTGTTCTTAGAAATATACAGGATACCAACACAGAAGACTGCAGGCTTTCCATTCCTCCATATAATCCAGGATTTCTATTCCAACATCAAGATAAACCACCAGAATATATGATTTTGGACTACACAGTATTGCCTGTTTTCTTAGAGTCCTTCTTTGGCACTACAAAGCAGGCAGCGAAATAGAAGATGTATAAAGGAAACAAATAGAAATTAAACAACTGAAAAATTCAAAAACCAAAATGAAAACTCACTGGGTGAGTTCAATAGATTAGATATGAGAGAGAAAAGATTCAGTGAGCTCAAAGAGAGATCAATGGAAATAAATCACTCTAAGCAACAAAGAGAAAACAGATTGGGGTACTGGGCGGGAGTGGGAGTCCAAGGACCCTCCGGGACAAGACTGGAAGATCTACCACTCACGTTATTGGAGTCCTGAAAGAGAGGAGAAACCATGGGGCTGAAAAAATAATTGAAGATATCTAAAAATCTTCCAAATTGGCAAAGGGCATACACCAACAAATTCAAAAAGCTAAGCAAACACCAAACAGGATAAACCCCCCAAATTTCATGCCAGGTTGTATCATAATCAAACTTTTGAACTCTATATACAATAAAAAAACCACACTGAAAACAGCCTGACAGAAAGATGAATTACAGATAGAAAAAAAGTGGATTAAATGGCAGACTTCTCATCTGAAACCAAGGAGAATAGAAGGAAATGACATGCTTTTCAAGTACTAAAGGAAAGAACTGCTGACCCCAAATAATATATCCCACAAAAAGATTCTACTAGAATGAAGGAGACTTACATTTTTAGATAAAGGAAAACAAAAACATCTGTTACTAGAAGACCTTCCCCATAAGAAAGACTACAGAGGATCCCTGACTTAGAATGGTTTTAGGATTTTTCTTGACCTTACGATACTGTGAAAGTGATATACATTCAGCAGAAACCGTACTTCAAAATCTGAATTTTGGTTTTTCCCTCAGACTAGCAATATGGAGTGTGGTACTCCCTTGTGAGGCCAGAGGCAGCACATCTCCCAGTCAGCCCCGCAATCACAAGGGTAAACTACTGATACTCTACAGTGTACTATGTTGCCAGCATTTTTGGATATTGCGTCTTGTGTTTTCCCATCCCATCATGTCTACAAAACACCCATCTGTGTCTCCTGCTTCTGGTGAAAAGAGAAAGTCAATTACTCTTGAGAAGAAACTCAAGATAATTACCTAGCATGAAGGTGGCAAGCTAGTAACGGCCATCACACGTGAGTTAGGACATTCTTAATCAACAATCAACCATATTAATGGTCAGTATTGGTTAAGTCCACTGTCATCATGAAGAAAAGAGATGGGCCAATTGACGACATGGAGAAATTACTTGTCACATAGAAGACCAAATACAGAAGCACATACTGCTTAGCCCACTGACAATCCAGGCTAAGGCAAGAAGTCTTTTCAATATACTAAAAGAGCATGCTGATGATCCTACACATACACAAATGTTTATAGAAAGTCGTAAATGATTCCAGTGCTTCATAAGGCACCATAATTTCCATAATGTGAAGGCTAGCAGTGAGGCAGGAAGTGCCAATACCGAAGGTGCTGAAGCTTTTAAGGAGGAGCTGCATAGGATAATTGTGGATGAGAAATATTTGCCAGAACAAATATTTAATGACAATAAAAGAAGCTTGTTCTGGAAGTGTATGCTGGTGCATTCATACATTTGTCGAGTCCAAGACAGTGCCAGGAGTCAAGGCACTGAAAGACATATAATGCTGATTTGGGGTGGAAATGTTGCAGAGTTCAAATGAGAGCCTTTTCTACTCTACCACTCAGAGAACCCTACAGTATTCAAGAATGTGAGCAAGTATATGCTTCCCATTTATTATCACCATAACAAGAAAACTTGGATGACATTAGCACTGTTTAAAGACTGGTTTTCCAACTGTTTTATTCCACAGGCAAGAGACTACTGTAGGCAAGACAATGTTCTATTCAAGATTCTTCTGGGGGCGCCTGGGTGGCTCAGTCAGTTAAGCGTCTGCCTTAGGCTCAGGTCATGATCCCAGGGTCCTGGGATCGAGCCCCACATCAGACTCTTTGCTTGGCGGGGAGACTGCTTCTCCCTCTGCCTGCCACTACCCCGCTTGTGCTCTGTGTCAAATAAATAAATAAAATCTTAAAAAAAAAAACACTTCTTATCTAATGCTTCAGGGCATCCACAGCATTTCACGGACATGCATCCTGATGTAAAGGTTGTACATTTGCCAGCAAACACAACTACACTCATTCAATCAATGGACGAAGGTGCAACAGCTATGTTCAAAGCATACTATTTATGCCATTTGTGTAGGCTGCTGAAGTGACTGAATCTAGCCAAATGCTCGACGTTTTAGGAAGATTTTTACATTCTAAATGCTCTTCAGAATATCACTATACAATGAGAAGTCAGGTAGCAATGCATGATGGAAGATGTATGTGAACACATTCAGAGGCTTTAACAAAGATTCTGCTGTTGATGAATGTTAAGTAAAAAGAAAGATATTAGTGCTTGGGAAACAGCCAGAATTGGACATTAATGAGGAGGATGTTCCTGACCTTGTTGGCATTGAGGCTGAAAAGCTTTCTATTGAGGAGCTAATCAAACTGGAAGGACAAAGAAATAAAGAAACTGACGCAGAAGAAGTTACACATGAAGCACCAAGAAAGGTCACAGGAAACAGAGGACTCTGCTACTCTATCCGTAATGGCATTTGGATGTCAGAAGAAATGGATGTCAGTCACAAGACATTCACAAGAGCTCATGGGCAGATACAGGATGCTCTTGCTTGCTACAGAAAAATATGGAATGAAAAGAAGAAACAAACTGCACAGTCAAAACTTGGTATCTTCCTAAAGAACCTAAACCATCAACAAGTGTTGCTGCCCTGGTGCCTTCTACCAGCTATTCTTCAGCCTCATCGTAAGAAAGAGAAATTGATGACCTGTCAACTGTAGCATCCCCATTACCCAGCAATTAATTTTAGTTCACCACCTCAAACATTCTTTAGGCCCAGCTATGTATGTTAATGATAAGTACACATACAATCATAGTTTTCCCCTTTAAGTATAATATTCAATAAATTACATGAGCTATTCAAGACTTTACGATAAAATAGGTTTTGTGTTAGATGACTCTGCCCAACAGTAAACTAATGTAAGTGTTCTGAGTATGTTTCACATAGGCTAGGTTAAACTATGGTCAGTAGGTTACTGCACTAAATGCATTTCTGACTACGGTATTTTCAACTTTCAATGGGTTTATCGACATGTAACTCCATCATAAGTGAAGGAAGATCTGTATAGGAGTTTGCAAAAAAGAAAGGAAATGTTAACAGAAAAAAATCTTGAGATTTCAAGAAGAAAGAACAATGGAATGGATAAAAGTAGAGGTAAACAGACTACACTTCTCATGGGTTTTGTAAAAATTGTTTGATAGTTGAAGCAAAAATCATCATCCAATATGATGCTCAGTGTATAAAGAAGAAATACTTAACACAATTATATTAAAGAGTGGGGAATGTAAAGGGACCCAATGAAAGTAAGGTTTCTACATATCAAAGTGCTAAGGTGTTGATACCATAGGCCATGATAAATTATATGTGTATAAAACAATACCTAAAATAACTACTAAAATACAAAGAGATAAACTAAAAAATATCATAGATCAAATGGAATTCTAAAAATTAAAGTAACCCACAGGAAGGCAAAACACAAAATAAAAAACAAAAAACCCCCAAAACAACAGAGGAAAAATAAAACAGGGAACAAAGAAAAACCAAATCATAAACTGGCAAACTTAAGCCCTAACGTATCAGTAATTATTTTAAACTTAAATGGTCTAAATATAGCAATTTAAAAAAGAAATCAGCAAAATGGATAAAAACAAAGCATGACCTGAATATGTGCTATTCCTGGGGACTGCCTTCAAATGTAATGATATACATAAGGTTGAAAATAAAATTATGGAACAATATAAACCAAAAACCGCAAAATATTACCCAAGAAATGCAATAGTGACTATATTAATATCAGTTAAAGTATACCCCAAAGAAAATTTACAGGGGCAAAAAGGGACATTACATAATGATAAGAAAAGTCAACACACCAAGGTGATAGAGCAATCCTAAATGTGTATGCACCTACAACAGAGCTTTGAAATAGTCAAAGCAAAAACTGATAGAACTTAAAAGGAGAAACAGACAATTCCAAATTATACTGCAGGACTTCAAAATCCCTCTCTCAGCTATTGAGAGCAATACTAAACAGAAAATCAGCAAGGATAAAGAAAATCTGAGTAACATCATCTACCAACAGGATCATGGGGACATTTATACAAACTCCATCCAATGACAGTAGAATACACATTCTTTTCAAGCAACCTTATAAACATTCATCAAGATAGACCATATTTTGGGTCACAAAGCAAACCTCAACAAATTTAAACAACCAGATCAAACATAAAACAAGTTAGAAGTCATTAACAAAAAGCATGAAATACTCTCAACACTAGGAAATTAAACAATATACTTCTAAATAATTTATGAATTAGAGAGGAAGTCTTGAATAAAGAAATTTTTAGAACCAAATGAAATGTAATTAAAATGTACTACAACTTGTGAGGAAAGTGCTGTGAGGAAAATTTATAGAACGTAATGCTTACATTAGAAAAGCAAAAAATCTCAAATCAATAATCTAAACATCCATCATAAGAAATTACAGAGGAAAATACCACCAAAGCAGATGGAAGAACAGATATAATAAAGGTCAATACAGATATCAGTGAAATTAGGAACAAAACGGTAACAGAGAAAAAACAGTGGCATAAAGTGCTGCTTCTTTAAAAAGATACAAAAAAATGATCAATATCTAAGAAGATTAACAAAGATAAAAAGAGAGTTGACACATTTCCAATATCAGGAATCTAAGAGGAGATATAAGTACAGATTCTTCCATCATAAACAATGTAATAAAGGAATACTTGAAACAAGTAAGAAAATTTAGATGAAATGGAACAATTCCTAAAAAAGGACAACTATGAAAATTCATCCAATATGAAATAGATATTCTGAACAGTTCTATACATATTAAATAAAATAAATACATAATTAAAAAGCATCTGAAGAAAAAACTCCAGGCATAAATGGTTCACTGGCTACCAAACATTAAAAATAAAACCAATTCTATATACTATTTTCCACATAATAAAAGCATATTCCCAATATATATTGGGAGGCCACTATCACCTAGACACCAAAACCAATGACAGTACGAAACAAACAAAAGGCAAAAAACAAACAAAAACGACTGAAAGAAAGAAAACTATGTATCATTACCACTCATGAAATTAGAGGAAAACTTCCTCAACAACATACTAGGATACTGAATACTGTAATTTAATATATAAAAATAATTATACTCTAAACCAAGTAGGGCTTATTTCAAGAAAACAAAGCTGATTCCACATTCAAAACTCAAATCAATGTAATACATCATATCAACAAGCTAAGAAAAAAACAAGATTATATCAACTGGTAGAGAAAAAGTATGTGATAAAATTCAACACCCATTCATAACAACAACAACAACAACAACAAAACCACAGCAAATCAGGAATATGGGAAACTTTCTAAACTTGATAAGAAACTTCTATAAAGAAAACCTCATACTAACATCATACTTGATGAAAAACTGAATGTTCTCCCCCTAATATCAGAAACCAGACAAGTAGTTACTAATACTGTTCAACATCATATTGGAAATCCTAGCTAGTACAGCAGACAAGAAAATAGTAGGTATACAGATGGTAAGGAAGAAATAAAACTGTCTCTTTTGTAGATGATATTTCTATGTTTTCTAACCCCAAGCATTCTATCAAACAAATAAATGCCTACAGTTCAGCAAGGTTGCAGGATACAAAAATGACATCCAAATTTTAATTACATTTCTGCACACTATCAAAACTTGTGTGGAAACTGAAAGTTTAAAAATCAATGCCATTTATAATAAAAGAAAAAAAAAAACACCTAGATATAAACCTTATAAAAATCATGCAGGACCTATTATTGAAATTTACAAAACAGTGATGAAGTAAAACAAGCAATACTTAAATAAACATAGAGACATACTGTGTTCATAAATTGAAGACTCAACATGGTAAAGATGCCAATTCTCAACAAATTGATCTGACAATTTAACTCAATTTCTACTGAAATTCAATAGTTTTTCATTAAAATAGACAAGCTTCTCCAAAACTTTATGTGGAAATTCAAAGTAATGACTGTTAAACCAGTTTTAAATAAAAAGAATAAAGAGAGAGAAATTATCTTACACAACTAGAAGATTTACCATCTAATTACAGCAATCAAGTAAACCAATAGTACAGGACCAAGAAAAAGTCTAAGTATCAGCTCCTTAAAACCACATGAAGGTTCGTTTTTTTCAAAAAAAATCAAAGCCTTAAACAGTTTTAACTGGTGCAATAAAATGTGCCCATTCATATGTGTATTCTTATCTCCTCAAATATAAAGGTGTTTGATGGCTCCAGCCTTTATATTTCTCACAAAAATTAAGCTCCTTAAGAACAGAGACAATGTTTTAGAACAAAGAAGATGTTCATGAAGTTTCCAAACCTGCCCTCAATTAACTCTCTTGATACTGGACAGTAATGAATATATATACAAGACACATAAAAGTCTAGGTCCTTTACCTCTAAAACAAAACCCTTCTCCTGCCAAGTAAACTAGGGAATTCAACACAAAGTGCCAAAGGCTTGGCAAGGAAGTCTGGAAGAAAATGTGTTTGTGTTTGCAGTTCATTTTCTCTTCTAAGTCTCTCCTTTCTTTAGAAAAAAAAAAAAAAAAAAAAATTTCCTGAGGTAATACTGCAGTGTAAATTAAGGAAAGAGATGTAGCTGGAGATTTTCCTATGTGCATATAACCACTGGGTCTCCCCTGGATGAATTCTCAGATGTAGAATAAGGCTCTAGACTGGGTAAATTTCCAGTCTGACTCCTTAGATGACAAATGATACCCTGCAACAAAAGGGTTTCTCATAGGGAAGGAAACTGAGGGGTTTCTCTTTGGTATGAATGATCAGATTCTGAGTAAGATGTTTCCTCAGTGGTTACATTCAAGAAGTCTTTCCCCAATAGGAGCTCTTGGAGGTTGACTGAGGACTGCCCACTCGGGAAGGGTCTTCCCACTTCTGTTACACTGACAGAGTTTCTCCCAGTATGAATCCTCTGATGCTGAGTGAGGGATGAGCTGCGACTGAAGGCTTTTCCACACTCACTGCACTCATAAGGCTTCTCTCCAGTGTGGATGATAGAGTGTCGAATGAGGTTTGTGCTCCAACAGAAGGTTTTCCCACACTCGACGCATTCATAGGGCTTCTCTCCACTGTGAATCCGTTGGTGCCTTGTGAGCCCTGAACGGCGGTTGAAGGCCTTCCCACACTCCATGCACTCATACGGCTTCTCTCCAGTGTGGATGCTGAAGTGTCGAATGAGGTCTGCACGATTGCTAAAGGCTTTCCCACATTCTTTGCACTCAAAAGGTTTTTCTCCAGTGTGGGCCCTTTTATGCAAGATGAAAGTAGAGCAGTGGGTGAAGGCCTTTCCACACTCGCTACACACATAGGGTTTCTCCCCAGTGTGAATCCTCTGGTGCCTCTTGAGGTATGACCTGTGGTTGAAGGCCTTCCCACACTCTAGGCACTCAAAGGGCTTCTCCCCAGTGTGGATGACGTAGTGGTGAATGAGGGCTGCACTCTCACAGAAGGCTTTCCCACACTCACTGCACTCGTAGGGCTTCTCCCCAGTGTGAGTCTGCTGGTGCCACATGAGGTATGACCTGTGTTTAAATACCTTGCCACACTCAAAGCATTCATAGGGATTCTCGCCACTGTGGATGATGTAGTGACGAATGAAACCTGGCCTATCTCGGAAGGCTTTTCCACATTCTTTGCACACAAAGGGTTTTTCTCCAGTGTGGCTTCTGTTATGCAAGACAAAAGTGGAGCGATGGGTGAAGGCCTTTCCACATTCATTGCACTTATAAGGCTTCTCTCCACTGTGAATCCGCTGGTGCTGTGTAAGGTGTGACTTACGGTTGAAGGCCTTCCCACACTCCATACACTTATAGGGCTTCTCCCCTGTGTGAACCATGTGGTGTTGAAGGAGATAAGTGCTTTTACTAAATGTTTTCCCACACTCGGTACATTCATAGGGCTTCACTCCAGAGTGAATCCTCTCATGTCGAGCAAGGAGGCGTTTCTTGTTAAAAACTTTCCCACATTCATTGCATTTAAAGATATTTTCTTCTTCCTGAATCACAGAATCTTTACCTGACCCACATGAATCATGGTCATGGACAGCACTTCCCAAAGGGACTGGCTCCTCTACAATCCCTGAACACACATTATCAGCTGTCCCTATGTTGCCATGTTCAGAGCTTGATTTCCCAGGGAGTTTCTCCTTCTGGGGATCTATCTCTGGTATCAGGTGTCCTTCTTGCATTTCCAATGACCCATCCTGATCCTTAGTTCGGCCCACCTGGGAGATCCCTGGAACTCCTTGTGTTAGTCGTTCCCGGAAGGAGACTCCCTCAGACAGGGCTGGCTCACTAGCAGTAGATTCTGTGATCTTGGGTTTTCCTTTGTCACCTGAAAGAAATCCAATACACAAAAAGGTCTGTTGGTAATGCCAACATAGAAAAAAATGAGCATTTCAGTGAAATGAAGAGAAAAAAATGAAGATGAAAATAGTGTCTCTGTGTCTTGCTACCTCTGAATTCCTGGACAACAATGTCTTTTATTTCCAAGAGTCCTAGGACTACTGACACCATGAAAGGGAGACCTGGGGGAGTGGTTGGGTTAGAAGACAAAGTGCAGGAGAGGAGACACAGTCAATTCCAGACTGGATATTTATGCAAATAGGTAACTCATTTGGGACCCTGATAGTTCATGCTTAAAAGATGACTGAGGGCAATGCATGACTACATGTAATTAGAGGGCTGGTGCTTTGAGCTGTAAGATAGCAACTAGGCCTCTGGACAGAGTCATGTAGGAAATGACTCAATCAACTGTGCTTATGTAATGACAGTAAATAAAACTCTGAACCCTCAAGCTAGGTGAAATTCCTGGGTTGCCAATACTTCGTACATGTACTGCTATACATCAATGCCAGAAGTGTAACAAGTCCCTGAGGATACGGTAGGGCACGTAAGGAACCCTTCCAAAAACTGTTCCAAAAAACACCTGATGCAGACATATTGGACATGACTTTACAACAACCATGTTAAAGAAGCTCACGGAGCTAAAGTAAGATGTGCAGAAAGTCAAGAAAACTATGTATAAACAAAATGGAAATATCAACAAAAAGCTAGAAACCTAAAAAGAAACCAAAAAGAAAAGTATAACTGAAATGAAAAATTCACTGCAAGGATTCAAAGGAAGATTTCAGTAGGATGAAGAAAGAATCAGCATACTTAAATACAGAAAATGAAAATTATATCCATGGGGGAGGGGGGAGATTTAAGAAAAGTGAACATACCCTAATGGACCTGTGATACACCAGTAGAAGAACCAATATACTCATTGTGGGATTTATCAGAAAGAGAAAGGGTAAAAGAAAATATTTTAACAAGTGGCTGAAAATGTCCCAAATTTGATGGAGACATCAATAATAAATATCCAAAAAGATCAGTGTACTCCAAAAAAGATGAACTAAAATAGATTCACACCAATAAAACTTACAATCAAACTTTTGAAACCCAAAGATAAACAGAGTATCTTGATAGCAAGCTTGAGGCAACCTGTCACAAAAAGAAATTCTCAATAAGATTACGAGCAGAGTTCTCATCAGAAACTTGGGGAGGCCAGAAAACAGTGGGTCAATATATTCGAGGGTAAAAGAAAAAAACTGTCAACCAAGAATCCTATATCTGGCAAAAGTGTCCTTTAAGAGGAATAAATTAAGACAGCTCCATATGTAAAACCCTAAGAAGTCTGTTATCACTAGACCTGCCTTGCAAGAAATTCTCAAGGAAATCCTGCAGGGTGAAATGAAAGGACACTAGACAGTAATTCAAAGCCATACAAAAAAATAAAAAATCTCAATAAAAATAAACACATGAACAATTATAAAAATATTATTTTAACAATGGCTTGTAACTCTACTTTTTGTTTTTTTACATGATTTAGGAGACTAATTAAAAAAAAAAAACTATACTAATCTAAAAGCTAATGTTACTGTAACTTCAGGTTATAACTCCACAGGTAGTTTCTACATAATTCAAAAGACTAATGCATTTAAAAGAGTCATTAGTTTTGGGCGCCTGGATGGCTCAGTTGGTTAAACAACTGCCTTTGGCTCAGGTCATGATCCCAGAGTCCTGGGATTGAGTCCCACATCAGGCTCCCAGCTCAGCGGGGAGGCTGCTTCTCCCTCTGACCCTCTCCCCTCTCATGCGGTTTCTCTCTCTCTCTCACAAATAAATAAATAAATAAATAAAATCTTAAAAAAAAAAAAAAGAGTCATTAGTTTTAAGTCTGAGGGCACACAATAGATAAAAACATACTTTTGTGACATGAACTAAAGGAGTTGAGAACGGAGGTGTAAAGGAGAATTTTTTTGTTATTGAGGGCAGGCTAGTACAAAGTAAGATTAATGCTACAAGTTTAAGATGCTAAATACAATCCCCATGGTAACCACCAAAAAATAGCTATAGAATAACACAAAAATAGACTCAAAATGGTTGAAGGACCTCAATGTGAGACAGGAGTCCATCAAAATCCTTGAGGAGAACACAGGCAGCAACCTCCTTGACCTCAGCCGAAGCAACTTCTTCCTAGAAACACTGCCAAAGGCAAGAGAAGCAAGGGCAAAAATGAACTATTGGGACTTCATCAAGATAGAAAGCGTTTGCACAGCAAAGGAAACAGTCCACAAAACCAAAAGACAACTGACAGAATGGGAGAAGATAATTGCAAATGACCTATCAGATAAAGGGCTAGTATCCAAAATCTATAAAGAACTCATCAAACTCAACACCCAAAGAACAAAGAATCCAATCAAGAAATGGGCAGAAGACATGAACAGACATTTTTCCAAAGAAGACATCCAAATGGCCAACAGACACATGAAAAAGTGCTCAATATCGCTCGGCATCAGGGAAATCCAAATCAAAACCTCAACGAGATACCACCTCACACCAGTCAGAATGGCTAAAATTAACAAGTCAGGAAATGACAGATGTTGGCAGGGATGCGGAGAAAGGGGAACCCTCCTACACTGTTGGTGGGAATGCAAGCTGGTGCAGCCACTCTGGAAAACTGTATGGAGGTTCCTCAAAAAGTTGAAAATAGAGCTACCATATGATCCAGCAATTGCACTACTGGGTATTTACCCCAAAGATACAAAAGTAGGGATCCGAAGGGGTACGTGCACCCCGATGTTTATAGCAGCAATGTCCACAATAGCCAAACTGTGGAAAGAGCCAAGATGTCCATCGACAGATGAATGGATAAAGGAATGAAATCTTGCCATTTGCAACGACATGGATGGAACTGGAGGGTATTATGTTGAGTGAAATAAGTCAAACAGAGAAAGACATGTATCAGATGATCTCACTGATATGAGGAATTCTTAACTGCAGGAAACAAACTGAGGGTTGCTGGAGTGGGGGGTGGGGTGGGAGGGATGGGGTAACTGGGTGATAGACACTGGGGAGGGTATGTGCTCTGGTAAGCGCTGTGAATTGTGCAAGACTGTTGAATCTCAGATCTGTACCTCTGAAACAAATAATGCAATATATGTTAAGAAAAAAAAAAAGAAGAAAAAGAAGGTAGCGGGAGGGGAAGAATGAAGCGGGGGAAATCGGAGGGGTAGACGAACCATGAGAGACGATGGACTCTGAAAAACAAACAGGGTTCTAGAGGGGAGGGGGGTGGGAGGATGGGTTAGCCTGGTGGTGGGTATTGAGGAGGGCACATTCTGCATGGAGCACTGGGTGTTATGCACAAACAATGAATCATGGAACACTTCATCTAAAACTAATGATGTAATGTATGGGGATTAACATAAGAATAAAAAAATAGCTATAGAATATACACAAAAGGAAATGAGAAAGGAATTTAAACATTTCATTACAAAAAGTCAACTAAAGGGCACCAGGGTGGCTCAGTCGGTTAAACATTTGCCTTCAGCTCAGGTCATGATCCCAGGGTCCTGGGATTGAGCCCCAAGTTGGGCTCCCTGCTCAGCAGGGAGTCTCCTTCTCCCTCTGCCCCTTCCCTCTCTCATGCTCTCTCTCAAATAAATAAATAAAATGTTTAAAAGTAAGTGATCTAAAACACAAGAGAAGACAGTAATGTATGAAATGAGAAACAAAAAATCTGTAATGCATATAGAAAGCAAATATCAAAATGATAAGAAGTCTCTCCCTATCAATAACTACATTAAATATCAACGGATTAAACTCTCAAATTAAAAAAACAGAGACTGGCAGAACCCATAAATCACATCATCCAACCATATGCATCTATGAGACTTACTTTAGATCCAAAGACACAAACAGATTAAAAGTGAAAGAAATGAAAAAGATATTCCATGCAAATACTAACCAAAAGAGGCCAGGGGTGGGTATATTAATGTCAAACAAAATAGACTTTAAACCAGAAAAGATTACAAAAGACAAGAACATTATATTTTAATAAAACGTGTAATACAGCAAGAAGCTATAACAATTGTAAACATGTACTTAATGACAGACCACCAAAATACATGAAGCAAAAAGCAGCACAATGTAGGAAGAGAGAGACAATCCTATGGTAATAGATGAAAACTCCCAATACCCCATTCTCAATAATGGATAGCACAACCAGACAAAATATAAGTAAGGAAACAGAGGACTTAACATAATAAACCAACTTGACATTAACAGACATATACAGAATATTCTACCCAACAATAGCATATACATTCTTCTCAAGTGTACATGGAACATTTTCCAGGATAGATCATGTTAGGCCACAAATTAAGTTTCAACGTATTTAAAAAGATACCATATAAAGTATGACTCACTTCTAGTGATAATGAAAACTTAAGCTATTAAAACTTACAAGATGCAATGAAAGCAGCATTAACAGGGAAATTTATAGCTATAAATGCTTATGTTAAATAACAAGAGATCTCAAATCAACAAACTAATGACAACTTAAGGACATAGGAAAAGAACACACTAAAACCATAGTGAGGGGAAGGAGGGAAATAGTAAAGATTAAAAAGAAATGATATAGAGAAGTGGAAAATAGAAAAAGAATGAATGAAACAAAAAGTTGGTTCTTTGAAAAGACTAACAAAATTGGCCAACCTTTAGCTAGATGAACTAAGGAAAAAGGAGACTCAAATGACTAAATCAAACATGGAAGTGGGGACATTACTACCAATTCTGCAGAAATAAAAATAAGATTATAAGAGAGTACTACAAACAACTGTACACCAACAAATTGGGTAACCTAGATAAAATGGACAACTTCCTAGAAACACAAAAGCCATGAAGACTAAATCAGGAAGAAATATAAAATCTGAATAGATCTCTACCTAGTAAGGAGATTGAATTAGAAGTAAAAATATCTCCCAAAAAAGAAAAACCTTGGCCCTGATAGCTACACTTATGAATTCTACCAAAGGTTTTAAAAGAAGAATACCAATCCTCAAACTCTTCCAAAATACTGAAGAGGAGGAAACACTCCTTAAATCATTAAGGCCATTACTACCCTGATAACAAAGCCAAAGACACTAAAAAAACTATAGACTAATGTACCTTATGAACACTGATGTAAAAAATCCTCAACAAAATATCAGCAAATTCTGCAGCATATTAAAAGGATCATACACCATGACCAAGTGAGGTTTACTGCTGTAATGCAAGGGTCATTTGACATACAAAAACTGATAAATGTAATACACCACATTACTAGAATGAAGGGAAAGGCCCACACAATTATCTCAATTGACACTGAAAAAGCCTTTGAAAACTCAACATCCTTTCATGATAAAAACACTCAATGAACTAGGAATAGAAGGAAACTTTCTCAATACAAAAAAAGCCGCATATGGACAACTCAGCAAACATGATATTCAATGGTAAAAGACTGAAAGCTTTTCCTCTAAGATTGAGAACAAGGCAAGAATGTGTGCTATCACCACTTCTATTCAACATAACACTGGAAATTCTAGGCAGAATAATTAGGCAAGAAAGAGAAATAAAAGGCACTGAAATTGGAAAGGAAAACATAATTTTATCTTTGCAGATAATATCATCTTATATGTAGAAAAATATAAAGATGCCATACAAAGTAACTGTTAGAATAATTGAGTTCAACAAAATAGCAGGATACGGGGCGCCTGGCTGGCTAAGTGTCTGCCTTCAGTTCAGGTCATGATCCCAGGATCCTGCTTCTCCCTCTCCCACTCTCCCTGCTTGTGTTCCCTCTCTCGCTGTCTCTCTGTCAAATAAATAAATAAAAAATCTTAAAAAAAAAAATCTGAAAATGAAATTACAAAAACAGGTCCATTCATAACAGCATCAAAAAGAATGAAGTACTTAGGAGTTAAACCTAAAAAACAAGGTAAAAGATGAAGACAACGAAAACTATAAAACATTGCTAAAAGAAATTAAAGATGTAAATAAATGGAAACACATACCATGGTCATGGATTAGAACTCTTAATATTGTTAAGATATTGATACTACCTAAAGTGTTCTACAGATTCAGTGCACTCCCTATCAAAATCCCAAAGACATTTTTTGGAGAAATATAAAAAACCATGGTAACATCCATATGGTATCAGAACGGACCCTGAATAACCAAAACATCTTACTACAAAACTACAGTAATCAAAAAACAAAACAAAACTACAGAAATCAAAATAGTGGGCACTGGCATAAAGACAAGACATATAGACCAAGGTAATATAATCGAGAACCCAGCAATGACCTCTAACATATATCATCAAATCATTTTTGACAAGGGTGCTGAGACCATTCAACGGAGAAAAAGACAGTGTTTACAACAAATGGTGTTGGGAAAACTAGGTATTTACATGACAAAGAATAAAACTGAACCCTTATCTATCTAACATCATATGGAAAAATGAACTCAAATAGGATCAAAGACTCAAATTTAAGACCTAAAATACAAGATTCTTAGAAAACACGGAGCGGAGCGCCTGGGTGGCTCAGACGTTAAGCATCTACCTTCGGCTCAGGTCATGATCCCAGGGTCCTGGGATCGAGCCCCGCACTGGGCTTCCTGCTCAGCGGGAGGCCTGCTTCTCCCTCTCCCAATCCCCCTGCTTGTGTTCCCTCTCTCGCTGTGTCTCTCTCTGTCAAATAAATGAATAAAATCTTTAAAAAAAAAAAAAAGAAAAGAAAACACAGAGCAAAACCTCTATGGCACTGGATTTGGCAATGACTTCTTAGATATGACACCAAAGCCATCAGCAACAAAAGAAAAAATAAATTAGAGTCATAAAAATGAAAAAACTATGCATCAACATACTATCAACAGAACAAGGCAATAACCCCAAGAATGGGAGAACATATTTGCAAATCATGTATCTGACAAGGGATTAATATCCAGAATATATAGAGAACTAAAACTCAACAACAAAAAATCACAATACAGAAATGGGCAAAAGACTTGAATAGACATTTCACCAAAGATGACATACAAATCGTCAATAAGCACAAGGTGTTCAACATCACTAATGATTAGCAAAATGCAAATCAAAACTACAATGAGGTATCCTCTCACATCCATTAGGATGGCTATCAAAAGATCAGAAAATAACAAATACTGGAGGATGTAGAACAGTGGGAACTCTTGTGCACTGTTGGTGGGAATGTAAAATGATATAGTCTCTGTTGAAACAGTATGGCAGCTCCTCAAAAAATTAAAAATGGAATTAAGAGATGATCGAGTAATTTCATTCATTTCTTGTTATATTCCCAAAAGAACTGAAATCAGGTTCTCAAAGATGTTTGTACACCCATGTTCACAGCAATATTATTCCCAATAGGTAAAACATGGAAGCAACCCAAGTGTCCATTGAGGGATGAATGGATAGCAAAGTGGGATATGTGGAATATTAACGATCCTTAAAAAGGAAGGAAATTTTCGGGCGCCTGGGTGGCTCAGTTGGTTAAGCGACTGCCTTCGGCTCAGGTCATGATCCTGGAGTCCCGGGATCGAGTCCCGCATCGGGCTCCCTGCTCGGCAGGGAGTCTGCTTCGTCCTCTGACCCTATCCCCTCTCATGTGTTCTCTCTCTCTCAAATAAATAAATAAAATCTTTAAAAAAAAAAAAAAAAAGGAAGGAAATTTTGACACATGCTACCACATGGATAAACCTTGAGGACACTATGCTAAGTGAAACAAGCCAGTCATAAAGACACACACACAAATACTGCATCATTCCACTAATATGAAGTACTTAGAATAGTCAAAATCATAGACACAGAAAGTAAAATTGCGGTTGCCAGGGCCTGGGGCAGAGAGATGGGGGGGTTACTGTGTAACAGGTAGAGAGTTTCAATCTTACACAATGAAGAGCTTTGGAGATGGATGGTGATGATAGGTGCATGGCATTATGAATGTATTTAATATCACTCAACTGTACACTTAAAAATGGATAAAAGGTTAAGTTTTATGCTATGAATATTTTAACACACACAAAAAATAACAGAAGGAATATACAAAGAATCCCTGCAAATCAAAAAGAAAATGCAAACCAGTTAAGAGAAAAACAGGTATTTATCATGAAATGACATTTCAAAGGAGAAAATACAGGCTGACCAATAATCATATGATCAGGTGCTAAAGCTCCTCAACAATGAAGGAAAAGCAAATCAAGACCACGTAAGATACAGTTTTGTGTTCATTTGATTGTCAACGATTGAGGAGCCTTAGAGTATCAAGTATTGGGCAAAGTATAGGTCGAAGGAACCTCCACGCTTTCCTGGGGAAAATGTAAATTGGTACATGTCCTTCAACACAATGGCAATTATCCAGTAAACTTGGAAGCTTGCATAGCCTATAAACCAACAATTTCACTCCAAGAAACACCAAAGACACCGTGACCATGTGCAAGATGACTGATACAGGACTGCTCCTGGCAGCACCACGTATCAGTCAAAACGTGTGAATAACTGAATGTACACAGAGTGGATGAATACGATGTGAGACAGGAATTTATTGATTTTCTTCAACTGAAGGAATTTGAGCCTATTTTTATGTTGAGTAGAGAAAGGAAGACGTTATATTACACAACAGAATATGAATGAAGACAACATTTTCCTGAAAAGGTGTGCTCTAGACTCTGGTTCAGGAACTGGCTAGGGCCAGGGGCAAGACCTCTCTCGCTAGGTCTTGGAAGGGGAAGCTGCAGACACCGGAGCCTGAGAGAGTGCGGTAGGGTCGAGGATCAAGCGATGGAGGAGGCGGACTTTACTTTCAACGCAAAGACCCGCTGACACCTCAGGGGTCATATGCTGAGACATCCACAGCTGGGGAAGTGGTAACCACCCGAACAAAGTCTGAGCTCCTGGGGTAGCTCATGCAGGATACAGAGCTGACTAGAGGCACCAGCAGATGCAGAGGCCGGTTAGGAGACTAGTAGCGTCCCCCAGAGAAAAGATGATGGGAGCGTGCACGGAGCGTGGGGATGGGTCTGAGGAAGGTGGTGCAAGTGATGGGATTCAGGAGATGTACAAGATGTGCAATGCACAGGACTGGGGCATGGCCGGATGTGGGGACTGAGGACCTTTAGCACCTGACTATATGATTATTGGTCAGTCTGTATTTTCTCCTTTGAAATGTCATTTCATGATAAATATCTATTTTTCTCTTAACTGGTTTGCATTTTCTTTTTGATTTGCAGGGATTCTTTGTATATTCCTTCTGTTATTTTTTTTGTGTGTGTTATGAAGTGTGGAGGTGTGAGGAGGTGTGGAGGTGTTAGGAGGTTAGGAGGTGTGAGGAATTCTCTGAGGCTGTACTCAGTCTCTAACCTGCTTGGGTGGCAGGACCATTCACTGTAACTTGGGAGGTGGAAGGAGTGAGCAACATTCTGGGTCTCTTGCCAGGCATGCTGACTTCGGGTCAAAGGGCTCCATGGCTTCCAAACCCCCAGAGAAGCCAGAACAAGAAGCTTCCCCAGGGAACCGGGGCCAGTGGTCTCCTCCTGGTCTTGAGCCTGCAGGGTCTCCCACCTGCCCACATCTTGGCTCCTACCTGGATAGGTGATTTGAGACAGGTCTCTCTTCACTGTCCATAGCTCTTGCCCGTGCTCCAGCTGGTAGATCAGCTCAGGTCTAGGAACAGGACACCCTGTTCACAGAAAAAGAAAGAAGACACTAGGATTTTTGTGAAAAAAATAAAATCCTTCAATCTAGTCTGTAAACAGGATCTTGGAATAAAACTGCTCCCATCCACACAAAATACTAACATGCAAACCCAGAAACGAAAGGCATGCCATACTGCCAGGGAGTTATTTTCCTCACAGTAAGTAAAAAAAAAATATATACAGTCATAAATACCATAATATAAATACAAACTGTAATCATAAATAACCATAATCATAAGGGACTGTGTCAAGCAACTTAAATGCATTGTATCATTTCAAAACTGAAATAAATTACAACTTACACACTTAAAATACTGACTTATTCATTCAAAAGAAGATATTTGTCTTCACTGATCTAGCTCTTTTTCTAGATCCTAAGCACAATTTTGTATTGTTCTTCCTATAGGCCATAGACAAAATGAGGATTCTATCTTAGGATTTCCTCACAGCACCTTCAGCAAGTACATACTGCAATCAGCACCATTTTGTAGAGGAAGAAACCAAGGCTCGGGCAGATAATGTGATCTGCCAAAGAGCAAAGAACTGGTGAATTGCTGAGCCAAAATGGAAACCCAGGTCTAGCTCTCTATGCTGTTTTACCACAAAGCTACACATCATTGTTCCAGAGGTGCTGAGCCCACCATCCATAAGGATGATGAAGATCATGATGAGAGAAACAACAGTGGTGGCAGCGAAATTCTCAGCAGCTAGACTGCACATAACCTGGTCACACCACGCATTGTTCTGAATCCTGTTCATAAGTTACCCATTTATCCTTGCTACAGTCCCAGGAAGTATATACTAAAGTATATATTACCCCAATTTACCAGTGAGCACACCCAGGCAGACAGGTTCGGTAACTTGCCTGTAGCCACAATTTTAAGGAGCAGAGCTAGGACTGAACATCAAGGATCTGGCTCTGGACCTTTGTCTCCTAAACACGACACTAAGGAGGAAACAGCAAACACCCTTGTGTGTGGACAGCAGCCCCAGACCAAGTGGATGGTGGTGGTGAGGTAGGGACATGAGCATGAAGATTCATCCTCAGAGGACAGGGGCCTGGGGAGGGACAGACTTAGGGACTCCAGACTTCAGCATTTCGTAACTACTAAGAAATAATAAAATTGAGAATCCTACACAGTGATATGGTCCCAGACAGACATTTACAGAAACATCAAATACTGTACACTGTCAACAACATTAAACATAAAAAGGATTTTTACTGCAAGGAAAAAAACAAACCAGAGAACAGCTTCATAAAACGAAGTATGTTCTGGGGCGCCCGCGTGGCTAAGCGTTAAGCATCTGCCTTCGGCTCAGGTCACGATCTCAGGGTCCTGGGATCGAGTCCCGAATGGGGCTCCCTGCTCGGCGGGAAGCCTGCTTCTCCCTCTCCCACTCCCCCTGCTTGTTCCCTCTCTTGCTCTCTCTCTGTCAAATAAATAAAATCTTTAAAAAAAATGAAGTATGTTCCATACTGAGTAAATTAAGCTGTATGGGGGACTCACTACAGTGGCTGAGACTTCCTGATTTCCTGAGCACTGGGAGGCCATGGGATTATATGCGCGGAGCAGGAAAAGTGCCTGGGGCAGTGCTCCAAGGACCTGAGCAGGCTGTGACTATTATTAATCACTTTTCCTAAAAGTGACCCACTTTTATTTTTCCTAGATTCCTTCACCAAGGGAATCTGTTATCACTTTAGTAAGTGGAAACCGGAATCACTGGCCTTGATGGCAGGTCACCCAGAAGACACAGCAGTGAAATCAAAATGATCTTAATTCCCAGTGAGTTCCTGCTGCCTACTCAGGGCTGCATGCTCACTCTGTTGAAAGGGGAAATTAGCAACAATTAGGGGGTGAGGTGTTAAGATTCAGCGCTAAACCCAGATATTTCCTCAGCAACAATCAGGAGACAAGAAAGAGCAGAAATAATGCAGTGATGATGTCAGGTGTCCCTTCATGCCAGCTGATGAAGTGTCCATGCGCCCTCTAAAACAGGGTTTCTCAACCACCATACAACTGACATTTAGGTCAAGATAATTCTTTTTAATATATACATATTTTTTAAGATTTGGTTTATTTATTTGACAGAGACAGACACAGCAAGAGAGGGAACACAAGTAGGGGGAGTAGGAGAGGGAGAAGCAGGCTTCCCGCCAAGCAGGGAGCCCGATGGGGGGGCTTGAACCCACGACCCTGGGATCATGACCGGAGCCGAAGGCAGACGCTTAACGACTGAGCCACCTAGGCGCCCCTAGGTCAAGATAATTCTTTGTTGGGAAGACAGGGAGGAAACTGTCCTGGGCATTGTAAGGATGTGTTGGCAGCATTCCAGGTCTCCACACACTAGGTGCCTGTCCCACCTCCATCCCACCTGTGACAACCAAAAATCTCTCCAGACGCTGACCAGTGTCTCCGGGGACGACACCATCGCTGGATGAGAACCACTGGCATAGAGAGTTATAACCAGGATGATGAGACAAGTGAGGGGGTGGGGGAGGGGCCCCCATGAGATCTGCAGGTCAGGACACAGCTGGCGAGGTAGTGATTATGCACAGAAGGGGTGACCGTGTGAGAGGCTGAAATGCCCAAGAACACTCCCCAGGCAGACGCAACAGCAAGCAGAGGCCCGAGGCAGGGCTGCGCGTGGGGAACTCACTAGAAGCCCTGCACAGCCAGAGCACAGTGAGCTCAGGGAAAGCACTGACGGTGACGGATGAGGTCAGCAGGAAAAGAGAGTAGACTTTTTATTTTGAAACACTTTGTTATGAAATCTTTAATCTAGCCAACTTTTCTAATTTTGCTTTTTCTCTTCTCACTGACAGACATAATTCCAGTTCTCTAAGAACAGGCATGTCTCATCCTAAGCTCTGGATTTATAGCCCTCCTTTCCCTCAAATTGAATGGCATCGTGGTCGTTCTCCTCAAGCAGAGAAACATCTAAGCTGGTGTTTCTCAACCGTGGCACTCTGGACGCTGCAGGCGGGATAGTCCTTCATTGAGGACGGCGGTCTTGTCCATCGAAGGATGTTTACGGCATCTTTGGACTCCAACCACTAGATGCCAGGACCACCTACACCCAAGGCCAGACAACCCAAAGTGGCTGCAAACACTGCCAAATGTCTCCTGGGGGTACAAATCCCAACTGCTGAGAAGTATTACTCTAACCCCTCTCTTGTACTGGCAGAGGATGTTGGCCCTTGAAACAAGTGATAATCTCGGAGGCACACAGACACAAAGGAGCCCCATAACCGAGATCATGCCGTTTGGGACAATACCTGTTGGCACTGAAGGCAAAGGCCTCCCGGGGGCCTGCCTGCCTCACTCTCTTCTTGGAGAACATCCCATCACTCACAGCCCTGCTGAGGACACTTGAGCCAATCAGGCTCACGCAGTCAGCTCCCTCTCTGGAATGTGAAATAAGAACCTCGGATGGAGGCCAGTCTGCGCTGGGCACTGGGTGAGAGGTCCAGAGAAGTACTGGCTCGGGTGGCCATTCCTGCCCCAAGGACACCCACACAGCCCAGCAGCACACAGAGAAAGAGGAACAACATAAACACGCAAAGACGCGGAGACCAGGAATCGGGGGGCCAGAGAGAGCAGGGCCAGGTGGCCAGTCCTGTCACAAGCTGATGAGGCAGAAAAAAACCTTTCTGCATACAGTGACATGAGCAGAGAGAGCCAGAGAGAGAAGCCGGGACAAGAGACCAGAAGCCAGGGTATAATCGTGGTGGTTGCCAGTTCCTCTATCAGTCCCTCACAGGACCCAGCTGGAAACCCTCCCTCTGGGTCTGCAGAACAGCCGCCTTTCCTTCCATTACTTTCCAGGAGCCAGAGAGGAACTGTTTCTTGCCCAGACAGACACAGGAGAGCAGGCCCAAAGAGATGAGTCTAGAAAATGACTGAAGCTGCAGGCGGGCGGGGGGGGGGGGGGGGGGGGTTCCAGAGGCCTTCTTGACCAGCCAGGCCTGGAGCCAGAGGGTGCTCTGACAAGAAGGTGGCAGGTCCCCCCATGGTGGAGTGCGGAGGACTCACCCAGAGACACCAGAAGGCCACAGTTTTCCAGCATCACCTCCTGGTACAGGCTCCTCTGGGCCAGGTCCAGCTGCCCCCACTCCTCCTGGGTAAAAGTCACGGCCACATCATCGAAGGTCACAGATATCTGGAAAGTCAAACAGAGGTAGCAGCGTTGGCCTTGCGGCTGTTGGATATGATCAGAGCTCATCCCTACATCCCTGGTAAAGATGCAGAGTGACCACGGCTCGAATCACCAAGCACCTCCTGAGGGCCAAGCTCTGTGCTAGGCTCAAGGGGCAGGTGGGCAATGCTTCGGATGCGCTACGGTAGCGTAAGGGAGAAGCTCCCTCCGTGGGAGCCACCGCAAGGTCACACAGGACGATGGAAATGACGCGAGGACTGGGAGACGCAGACAGCAAGGGCTCTAGGACGTCGGAGGAATGAGTGAGTATGATAATACCAGCATCAGTAATAACAGCAGTACCTGAGCCTCACTGGTCCTGCTAGCTGCCTGCCCCATGCTGAGGGCTTCACATCCTGGTGAGAGGGACTGTAAGGCCCCAGTTCTTAAGTCATCTTAAGTTTCCACTAATGTTGTCTTTTGACTTAAAAAAACACTTCATACGGAGTTTGCCTTGTTAACGTTACTCCCTTCACCATATTCTATGGTTTCCTCAATGTGAAATGTCCAACACATGCAGGACCAAACCCACTAATTAAATATAAGTAACTCAGCTACTCCACTCTCCGACAGACAGCCCCACTACTGCAGATCTGTCATTTAAATGCTCCAAGTCACTGGCTCATGGTTTTTCATGTGCACTTGCAGTGCCCACATCTCTGTGCTTTCTAGCTTTGTCCCCTCTATCAGGGCTCTCAAGTTAGTATTTCAATTAAACACCTGGAAATTCCTAATAAACCAACTGGTTCATACATAGGAACCCTGCAACATTACTCAGTTCTGGTGCTGGATAAACTCACATCACCAGGCACATTTTGGGCAGATAGATAACCACAGAAAAGTCAACTAGGGCCTCCACATTGGCCACCAGGTGATAGATGTCTAAATTATGAAAACTCTCTGACATGTACTCACCTAGCATCCTATATGATTGGTTAGGGGTGCAGATATAGGTTTTTTCTGATAGGTCTTATGTTGCAAATGGGGGGGAAATTAGGGAGGATCAGTTATTAAGCAAATCCTGGCTATTTGGGGCCGACGCTTAGAGAAGTCACTGTTGAGCTCCCTGGACTGTCACCAGCGCTAGTAATCTGGCTTCCGGCCAAACGGGACAGAGCGGACTGGTTTCCCGGGTTGCTAACCGCAGATACGGGATTAGTTTCCTGGGCAGGTGGCTGCAAGTTTCGGGGCAGAGTTCTACTTTCAAATACGGTCTGCCCATTGTCAGATCATCTGTACACTCAGTCTCTCTCTGTAGAATCTGCTCTAAGACTGGAGATCAAGCAAGCGACAAGCCTTCTCCACGCGTCTTACACAAACACACCTCAAAGAGAAACCGAGCACCTCTCTCGACGTCCAGCCTGCCCAGGAGCCCTCTCCGCAGCAGAGAGGCATCGTCCACTCACCTGCGCAGGGTCCATCCACGCCGCCGCCATCATGGGACCCTGTGCTCAGAGCGGGGCCTGGAGAGGCGGCGACACAGGCGAGTCCCGCGGGCTCGGCCGACGCCACCCCTCCCCTGCTCCGGGGGGGGTGACCTCGCCTGACTTTCGCACTCCCCGGTCACCGGGCGGCTCACGGCTCCTTCAAGGGCGCGGCGGTGAGCGGGGAGCCTTCTTCCAGCTCTTTTTTCCAAGAGCTTCACTGGAGGCGGGTCACAGAACAGCGGCCCCCTCCCCGCAGCTGGCGTGGACGGAACCGTCGCACACGAGTGACGCCCTCCACCGGGAGACCGGAAGCCCCGCCCCCACCTGAGAGGACGCCCGTGCACAGCCTTCTGGGCAATGTAGTTTTTGCTCTACAAACGAGCCGCACAGGAACGTGTTCCGGAGCGGGTCTTCCTCGTCCTAAAAGACTTATCAGGCCCAGAGCTCGCTGTCAGACCCGCCTCTTCACAGCGAACACAACGCGAGGTGGACCGAGGAGAAAGGGCGAGGCCGTCCCTCTCATGCCCCGGTAAGTCGAGGCTCAGGAGGCGGGACCCCCGCCCGGCGTCAGGGCACGTGCCAGGTCCCGTAGCCGGATTCTTGGCCCGGCTGGTGACTTCCCCCGTGCGCCTCACCTCCTGGCGATCTTCCTGGAGCGAAGGCGGATGCTCGAGCCGTAAGGCGGCCGCCGAGACCCGCGCGCGGGAAGCCCGCTGCGACGCGGCGCACGCGCACCGCGCGGCCCCTCCTGGGCCTCCTGGGGCCCAGCGCCACGTGCCGCGGGGCCTTGACGCGCGGAGTGGGCCCCGGGAGCCCGAGGAGCGCGGCGCGAGCCCCTGAGTGGGGAGGCGGCCCCTGAGGTGGGGAGGCCGCCCCTGAGCGAGGCTGGGGGAGGCCGGGACTCCAGTGTGGAGCGTGGGCGCTTCGACCTGTGTCTGAGCGCCGGCCGAGGGGTCGTGCCGGCTACGGGAATTCGGGAACTGTTAGCAGACGCTGCTCTCGCAAGTCAACGCAGAGTGAGACTAGGTGGAGAAAGGAATGGACAGGGGCGAACCCTGAGCCAGCCCGGCGCCGAGTAGTTGCAGACAAGAAACCAACAAAGTCGTGTGAGGAATGCTAACATTCCTTTCAGAATTATATTAGGCAAAATCTTACAAGTCACCGTCAGTGACTTACTTTGTTTTCTTCTCATGACTATGAAAGTGAGAGAATAAAATCTCACTTCTAATGAATTGAGAATACATACGGTTATGGAAATGGAAACAGTATGCAGGAAACGCCAAGAGATTTATTTGATGGAATATTACTCAGCCACGAGGAAGAATGAAATTTTGCCCTTTGTAACGACATGGATGGAGCTGGAGTGTATTATCCTAAGCAAAGTAAGTCGGAGAAAGACAAATACCGTATGATTTCACTCAGATGTGGAATTTAAGAACCAAAACAAACGATCATGGGGGGGAGAAAAAGAGGAAAACTAAGAAACACTATTCACTATAGAGAACAAACTGATGGCTGCCAGAGGAGAGGTGGATGGGGGGATGGGTTCAGTAGGTGATGGGGATTAAGGAGTGCACTTTCGATGAGCATTGGGTTATGTATGGAAGTGTTGAATCGCTATACTGTACACCTGAAACAAATATTACACTGTATGTTAGCTGGAATTTGAATAAAAACTAAAAAAAATTTAATTTTAAAAAGTGGAGAAAAGCATAGTGACTGAATCAAGGATTAAGATGCAGTTAATTTCCTAGAAGAAGATGCTTTTTATGAAAGGAGGTTGTGGAGAAATGTGGCTTAATTAGCACACAAGGGACAGTGTGATCCACCATTGAGCATAGTAATTGGACCAAATTGGAAAAGACATTCTTCTTTTCATATGGGGTTGACACGGTTAAATTAAATGGTTTGAGGGTAGGATGTACGTCAGATATCAAAGTTAAGATTTTTATATTCTGTGTCATGGGCGGCACAATGTCCGGAATCAATGGTGAGGAAAACCATGTAGCTATTGGGGACTTTGAAATCCCTATTGTAAAGCATGTCTGAGAGTTTTCATAATTTAGACATATATCATCTAATAGTCAATGTGGAAGCCCTAGTTGTCTTCTCTCTGCTTACCTACCTCCCCCAAAATGTGCCGGGTGATGTGAGTTTATCCAGCACCCAACTAAGTAATATTGCAGGGTTCCTATGTACAAACCAGTTAGTTTTTAGGAATTTCCAGGTGTTTAATTGAAATATTGATTCGAGAGCACTGATAGGACAAAGCTAGAAAGCACAGAAATATGGGCCCTGGAGGTGCAGATGAAAAACCATGAGCCAATGTCCTGGAGCATTTAAATGATAAATCTGCAATAATGGCGCTGTCCATCGGGAGAGTGGAGTAGCTGAGTTACTTATATTTAATTAGTGGATCTGGTCACATGCAGAGATGTGTCTTGCATGTGCTGAAAATTTCACATTGTGGAAGCCATGTAGAATATGGTGGAGTAACATTAACTCCATATAAAGTATTTTTAAGTTCGGAGACAGTGGTGAAGACAATGCCTGTGATGAGCAGAAAACAGGTTTAAGCTCCCAACTGTGTCTAGATGTTTATTCTGGTGCAGTCAGCTTGTCATGGATGGAGGGAGTAGCTGACACATGCAGCTGTAACAGGATACGGGGAAAAGTTGCAGGAGAGTTCCCTAAATTGCTAAAAGTGGAGGATGTGATTTCAGAAGATGTGATGTTACATTTATTATTAGGGATGACTTATTTGATGCAATCAGAATATGACACACCACGGAGGTGCTAGTGAATTCATTTGAGAATTGAGTGGCATTGATGTGCAGTGAAACATTTTGTCTCAGAGACATGCTGGATGTCAGTATAAAGAGGGTGGACCTCTGGGTTGATCAGAGTCCTGGTTTGCAAATGGCATACTCCTGAAAACGTGGGGAATAGTAAATTGAGTCTAGAAGAAATGTGATAGGTGGTAGGTTGTACACCACCAGGGTGGTCGTCTGCACAAAGTAGTAACTAGTTTTCAAGGTGAGTAGAGTCACCATCCTTGGGGACCAGGAGGGACATCATCTTGGGACACTCTCATAGGAAAGAGTTTCTACAAGAAATAAAGATTCTACCCAGTCACATAACTACATAGTCAAATAACTACAAAGAACCGGTACAAAATGATTCAGCTTTTATTAATTAGCATCTTGCATCTTAGAAGAAACAAAAGACAGGTAAGATGGTAGAGCCAGGGGAGCTCCCTGGACAAAAACAATAAAACAGGTGCAGACAGGGCTCAAGAAGCCATCTGAAAAGACGGAGGCAACACCCTCTGAGAGTGGGCCCGGACCCAGGGGTGCTCCAGGATCTGGGCCAAGGGCAGCCGCTCCGAAGGCTGGTATCTGAGAAGCTTGGAGATCAAGTCCTGGGCCCCCAAAGGTAATGATGGGGGAAACCTTACATCTACCTGATGAGGCCAGAGAAGAAAAAAAGAGAACATGGTTAATTTCTGTGCTGCGTGCTTTCTCCATTCCTTAAGACCCTTCAAAGCACTGTTCTGGATCTTTCTGGACAACCTTTGTGTGCACCCCAGGCTCTGCAGGCCTGGCTCCCTAGTGAGTGCCCAGAGTGTAGCCATCCTACCTTGAGGATGCGTCTGTAGGTCTCATTATGGGAAGGGCTCTCAAAGGGTGGATTTCCCACCAGCAGCTCATAGCACAGGACTCCAATGCACCACAGATCGACCTTCTCATTGTATGTTCTCCTTTCAATCATTTCTGGGGGCAAGTAGTCCAGAGTCCCACACATTGTCTTTCTCCTAGAGGACAGCAGGGAAGAGAGCACTATGCAGAAGCCGAGAACAAGGGTAACCCTCCTTTTCTATATTCCAGTGAGATGGGAGACCCTAAGAAGTCCGAGCAGTCCCCTCCTGAGCATGGGAGTTTGGAAACACTAAGTTTTAATAAGGATCAAGGTTTAGGGAAGGCAAATACTGGAACCCACAAATTCCATATTTTGGAATTATTCATAAAGCTATGTGGCTCATGATCGAGGCTGTTTTCAGAATATTTTGGGCATCAACAGAGATTTTGAAGAAACTGATGGTGCATCAAGAGGGACCAAGTAAAATTCCTGGAGTTATGGAGCAATGATTCTTACTTACATGGAAACTTACTGAGAAAGTTACATGTTAACAGAGATCAAAAGATAAAAGATAAGGTTGAGCCACGTTCTTTCAATCTACAAATGCACATTAAATATATGCATATGAAAAAGGCAGTACTCAAATACAAAACCAAGTTTGTATCTGGGTCTTACACATGGAATGAATTAAATTGGATCATTCCTAAGTGGCACCCAGGGCCCATGCCCCCACCACCACTTTACTTACCTCAGAGATGGGGTGTGCACAGACCAGCCAAAATCTGCAATCTTCACCTCACCCCTGAATCCCAGCAGTAGGTTCTCTGGTTTAATATCCCTGTGAATCACCTTCTTCTCGTGGCAATAGATCAGAGCATCTGCCAATTCCTCCATTATCTGAGTGAGCAAAGAAAAAGCCATCAGGAAACGAAGCACGCCACAATTTCATATGAGATAAAATACTCATGCATTTTGTAGTTGTAGTGGAATCTTTTTATTTCCTTTTATTTCCTGTTTACCGACCCTGTTACTTCCTTAATGGCACCACAATTTTTGGTGGGGGAGGGATTCCTCTCCCCATTTTATGTGGTCTTATAGGATGGATGATAAAGTGGACAGAACCTCCGTTTTGCCTTAGAACAGCAAGTAGCTGGACACAGGACCTATGCTGAGCTAAACAGATGATCTCCCACAGGATTTGACGCCTGAAGAAATGATACAAAAGCAGGAGGAAAATTGCAAGATCACTCATTCTGACAGCAAGCTGACCCAGCGCTTCCGCTGGGATAATTGTTGCTCTGATTCCCCATCTGGAGCCCTCTAGAAATCTCTTGCTTCCTATAAGCCAGTTCCACTCACTTATTCAGTGAACTCCTTCACAGGCCTTCAACATGCTTCTCTGCATAAGGTAGTGGAGTTAGATTGTCTTGCTTACACTAATTATTAATATTCTGGGGTAATTAGGGTATCAAACTGTGAAGTTATGGGCTGTATGTGTCATTATATAAAAGGTATAGGATTCAGAAACAAAAAGAACCTGGACAATAATGACAGCCACAAGCAGTGACCCCCCCCCCACCAGTCCACAATAAACGCATGGGCCTCAGAGCCCCCAGGCCCCGCCTCACCGTGGCTGTGTGCTGTTCATCTAATGTGCGGCTCTTTTGCAGCTCCTTGTAGAGCTCACCCCTTGGAGCATATTCCAGAATCAGGTACACGCGGCGTGCGTCATGGAAATAGTTGTAGAGACGTAGGATATTGGGGTGTCTGTAGAAGAGACGGAGGAAGGGTCAGACTCCTAAGACCCAACTCCGGATGCTGTCACAAGTGCCTGGTCACACAAAGGGCAAATTGTGACGGGACCAGAGTAACAGCAGCCTGATACCGGAGTGTGTGAGAGAACGGGAGCAGGCGTCAGGGTTTTGGTGTCTGAAACAGGGACGATTACGTGGTGCAAGTGGAATGAACTGCAGAAAAAAATCTTCAAGGTGGCCTATCTGAGGGTAGTTCGGGGGGCATGCTGGGCTCAGACGCCAGAGACGGAAGAGAAAGCAGAAGAGTAAGAAGCCAGTGCCGGGTTCTCCAGGCTGTCCTTACTGTAGATGCGCCTGGATTTCAATTTCCCTGCGCAGCTGGTGCTCCAGTCCTTCCTTCTCTATCTGGGACTTGAAGAGGACTTTCAGGGCCACGATGAAATGGCTTTCCTTGAGCCGCGCCAGGTACACATTCCCAAATTTTCCCTTGCCCAGAGGACGCCCGATCTCAAAGTCCTCAATTGTGAGGCGCCGCCTGCGAGGAAAGGAACAAAAGAGCCTCCGTTTGGGAGGCGGGAGGAGGGCAATCGGACTGTGAGTGCGCACCTTCCCCTCACTTAACCCCACCCCTGCCCCTTGCCCTGCTAGGGGCACAGCCAGGCTGTCCGGTCATCGGCGCTCAGCCCGCGAGCCGACACGGAGCACGTGCCGCTTGCTCCTCCCTTCTCTCCCCGCCCCCTTCCCACTCGCCGAGACGGCGCCGGAGACACTCACGCGGGCGGGATGCTGAGCTCCACGTGGCCTGCTGCGGCGACCTGAGACAGACGGAGGTCGGCGCTTCCCCCTGTGCGCCCTCCACCCCCAACAGCGGACACCGGCCCTTCGCAACCTCTTCTCCGGCCCCGGCTCCTCTCGCCTTCAGCGGCGGGCCCAACACCGCCCGACTTCATCACAGCGTTTGGGTGGCCCCCGACAAGCGACGATGGCGACGGGACGGCCCTCCTGGGCCCTTTGGAAATGTCCCGGAAGAGGCGTGAGGTAGGAGATGCTGAGGGTGACGCTCCTCGGGAGCCCCCCGGCCCTCGCCGCCTCGGGAAAGCGCCTGCACTGACGCCCCCGGGACGTTCCCGCGCCGCTCACAGCCTCGGACGCACGGAGACCCAGGCGACCCCGGCACGCCTGCGCCGGGGCCTTCATCCTATCGCCGCCCTCATTGGCTGAGCCAGCAGTTCCTGATCGACTCCCATTGGTTGGAACTTCTGAGCGGGCAGGCAGCGTGCCCAATAGAAGAGGCAGAAATGGGAGCTTCCGCGCACGCTTAGCCAATGAGGTTGCAGGGCGCGGGCACCTGCGGGTCGCTGGGGCGGGGCGGACGCCCGGAGCCGGGGCTTCGGGGAGGAAGGGAACCTCGGGAGGGGCCGGACGAGCGGAGGGCGGCCGAGGGGGCCCGATGCGAACGGGTCTCGCGGAATGAGTGCCTGCAGAAATCCAGGAGCGCGCGACTCCGTTCCTGAGCTGGCGTGGCGCACGTGGGAGTGAACAGGCGCCCGCCGCGGGAAGCCGCCGGGGTGCCCCTGCGAGGTCGGAAGCCGCGTGCGCGCGGCCGTGTCCCGTTTGGGCCGCTCCCCGCTCCCCGCGGTTTCTGCCTCGTCGCCGAACGTCCCGCAGCTCCCGCCCTCCCCACTCCACCCCGCAGCCCCGGGGCCGCCCCCAGCCTGGAACTGCAGGCGCGTCCGGCGCGATGGCGCCTCCGTGTATTTGTTGGACCGGCGGAGAAATGGGTTCATTTGGAAATAACAGAGAACTACAGCGAGGGACAAGGAAGCTACAGCAAAAACCACAGGCTCGTCCTCAAACATAGGAGAGGAACACTCTTATGGAGAAGGAAATTTGGGAGCAGTTGTGAAGCAAAGGCCATGGGAGAAAAGCAACAGGTGAGTCAAGGAGTTTCCCATCGGCTGAGTTTCAGGGGTGGGTAGCCTGCTGCTTGTAGGGAAGGCTACGTACATCTTTTCCCCTTGGGGCCCATCACTGATGATTCTCTCCTGTTGAGGATTCGTCTGCTGGGGTCTGTGATTGACATCCCTAGGCAGCATGTGGGAGCTTAGCCCCACCGCCGGCCTCCTGACTCCATTCTAGTGAAATTCCCTTTTATTTTCACAGACCCTTTCATCAGTTTGCATTTGGGGTCTCAAATAGTAAAATCAATCCACATGTCTATTTGGCAGATACGAAAGTTTCAAAAAGTTTTAAATGGAATTCTTTTACACAGGTAACAATATAAATTGTTGGAGAAACGGAATTTAAAAAGAAAAAAATCTTATCCCAACCCAGAAAACCTCTCCACAAAGATAGAGAAAAAAGTCTTTTTACCAAATAAAGCTTAAACCAGAATTTGGTGCCGTATCACAGATAATCGCTAAGAGATGGCAAAGTCAGAAAGATACCCTTTCATATAGCCAAGCAGATACTGGCTTTCTCAGTGTCTCCCATTACTTTTTTTTTTTTTAAACGGAGGTAGCCTCTTTTTTTTAAGATTTTATTTATTTGACAGAGACAGGGCGAGAGAAGGAACACAAGCACGAGGAGTGGGAGAGGGAGAAGCAGGCTTCCCGCCGAGCAGGGAGCCAGACATGAGGCTGGATCCCAGGACCCTGGGAGCATGACCTGAGCCGAAGGCAGAGGCTTAACGACTGAGCCACCCAGGCGCCCCTCCCATTACATATTTTCAACATGGACAATAATTAGTCCTCAAGTAAGAAAACATGACAGCACCACTTGTTATGCAATTTATCCTAAATTTACCTAGTAATTGGGCTGCCTACCTGCTGCTACATTGGCTTTCTATAAGGGAAAACAAACTTATTACCTGAGGGTAGAAGGTAGTGTTAACCTTAAAAATAAAAGTTATTTTACCAGCAAAAATGGGTTTATTTGGAAATAGCATAGAATTGCAATTAGAGACATGCAAGCTATGGTAAAACCATAGGCAAATTCAACAAAGAGGAAAGTTATTTTATGGAGGAGGAGAAAGTTGGGACGGTTGTTTTGAGCAGAATCCTTTGGAGAAGAGCAACAGTTCAAGGTGATGACAGTTTCTCATTGGCAGAGTCGCAGGGATGGTTGATCTTGTGGGAAATGCAGCGTCCATATTTCCCTGATGGGGCCTATAATTGACAGTTCTTCCTGAGATTGACTTGGAGTGGTGCTGTGTGAGAGGTCTCCCTTCTTGCCTCCCAGCTCTGTTTTATTTTTATTTATTTAATTTAAAAAAATTTTATTTATTTATATGACAGAGGGAGAGAGACAGTGAGAGAGGGAACACAAGCAGGGGGAGTGGGAGAGGGAGAAGCAGGCTTCCCACCGAGCAGGTCCTGGGGTCATGACCTGAGCCGAAGGCAGATGCTTAATGACTGAGCCACCCAGGCGCCCCATCCAGCTCTGTTTTAAATGAGGTTTCCCTTAATTTTCAGTTTTGCGACTTGGAGCAAGGTGCCCCCAAATTAGGCCTCTACTTTACCACAGAAATTGGGAGATAGGGATGCTATCTCCCTTGATGTTTGCATTTCAGAGATAGCTCCTAGGTCTTTTGAGAAAGACATTCCTGGGGTGGGAGAGCACGGGGTGCCTGAGAAAAAGCAAGAAGGCTAGTGTGTCTAGAGCTACAACTGCTGGGGACTGCAGGGGTTCAAGTGGGACGAGAGGAGTTGGATAAATGGAGACATTGTATAGAACCTTGTCAGCCTTTGTAAGGAGGTTGTAATATGCTCCAGAACGTGTTCTAAAATGTACCGGTTATTTGTTTAATCAGATATCGTAAGGCAGCAGACCTGGAAGTGATTGTCATGAAGGAAGTTTATGCTCACAGATCCCCACAAATAAGAGTCAGGGAATGCTACCGATGGGAGATTCTGCATTGTATGAATGGAAATCTTGGTTCTTGGATTCCCCGTGAAAGATTTACGTGGGGATCCACTCTCAGATAGACAGCTAGAAGGAAGGTAGCACGCACAAAGCAGTTATTAAGGACAGTACACTGTCAAGGTGGGAGAGCAGGCAGGCCCAGAGGTGACAACTGCCCTGAGGCTACAGAGATCCATGGAGGGGGTGGACTCTAATGGTGGCTACTTCCAATCATTTGGGGGGACTCCTCCTACTGGTTGGGAGGGGATTTTTGACCTTACTGGTTTGTACCAGAACCCTCTTGGCAACCTTCCCCCATGGGGGAAGAGACAAAACCGCAGTGAAAATTTACTGTAAGGATGCAGAGATGGAAGAGGAGAGCACAGGTTCTGCACCTGTGGCTCTTGGTCTGTCAGCCCTGGGGTGTTGGAAGCCAGTCAGTATGTGTGACCCCAGGCTTCTAATGTGTAACCTATTTATCACCACCCTTATCTCCAGCTCAAGTCTAACTGTCTTATTCTATCAGGCATACCATACAAGGCAGTATGGGGAGGCAGCAGCTATGATGGAGAAAACATGGCCCAGCACATTTATTGTGTATTTTGCAGGAAAGGCAAGGCAAGACAGGTAAACAGTTTAGGATTGACTTGTTTGAATACAATGTAGGGACTTTGGAGCAAACGGATCACTCCCTGTCTGGTACCTGGCCCTGGAGTTTTAGGGTAGAGGAATGCTGCCTCCTGGAGTTTAGGACCAGAGAGAGGTGGTTAGTTTGCATATGAAAAGTGAGGTCCTGAAAGAGTTGTCAACCTAGTCCAGGGAGGGGCAGTGTCTCCCCAGTCAGCAAGGCCCTAGATGCCAGACCACAGAAAACTAAAAATATATAGTTAGTACACTGTGAAATAGACAACTATCCTGGAGGGTTTTGAGCTGAATGGTAATGTAATCTGATTCGTGAATTAAAAGATCAGTCTGGGTATTGCGTGGAAATTGAACTATAGGAGGGGCAAGAAAAGGGAAGATCTGTTAGGCTGTTTTCCAGATGGGTGAGGATGAGGATTTAAATTAAGGTAGTGACAGGGGAGGTGGTTTATCACAAAGTACAAACAGTTGATCAGAAGGGACAAGTTATCGAATTAGTAGAGAAATACGGATATGAATATAACGGTTTCACAGTATGGATTGTTGTTATTTTAACCTACCCATACCCCACACTGCCTCCTTCATATGGTAAGCAGATTTCTGACGATACTGAAGTGCACCTTCCCAGAAATGCTTTCCTACATAGAGATGCTCAGGCAGGTATCACTGTTCTGCTGTCACAGAGCCTAAGCCAAGGGCCAGCACGGTGGACTGTGCAGGAAAGTGCTCATTGAACAGGCTTTGGCTGCTCAACTGCTACGCATCCCAAAGGACTGGCCCCTGACCAGCTCCAGGAAGACAACCTGAGTCCTTGAACATCTGGCCTGGTAAGAGTGACTTTAGGCCTGTATCTGCAGGCCCCGCTGCATCAGTCTGACCAGGTAATTTATACTAACAGTGTGACTCACAGAGAATGGTGGGTTTTGTATGCCTGAGGCTCTGAGCCACACCGTACGTTTGCCTTCTGCGATCCCACCGAGTATCTACGGTCAGTCACGAAGGTACTACATGCCTCAGGAAGAAACCCTGGACACCGAAGCTTGGGTGACTTTCCCTCATTGGCGACACTTGAACATATTGTCACACATCTTTGCCAAAAGAGTTAAGCAAGCCCCTGTGTGACTGCACTGGGAGGGAACACCTGGAAGCTTGGCTCAGTTTCCCCTGGACTTTTTACCGTGTGCCTTTTCCCTTTGGTGACCTTGACCTGTGTCCTTGAGCTGGCACAGACGGAGTATAACGGCAGTTATCTGAGTCGAGCAAATCCTCCTAGCAACCCATCAAGCAGGAAGGTGGTTTTGGGGAGCAAAGAACCGTATGTATACACGGTTATGATCTAGATGGTGTGCTGGTAAAGGTTCCCTGAGGACGTGCCATTTGAGATGAGATGGGAGGGCTAAGCATGCACTAACTAGGCAGTGTGGGGAGGCAAGAGGCCATAGCAGGTGGGAAAGTGAAGGAAAGGGAAACAGCAAATGAAAAAAGAGACCAGAGTTGTGCATGAGAAAAGGAAGTAAATTAGGCACATCCCACACCAGGTAAGGCCCCATGGATGGGCCATGTTAAGGATTTGGTTTTTATCCCAATAGTGAAGGGAAGTCATGAAACATTTGAGGGAAAGGGGGTGGGGGTGAACCCACCATGACCAAATAGGAGCCATATCTCTGGCTTCAGTGTGGAGAATCGACTGGAGGATAAAAGCAGAAGCTGAGGTGTCAGATGATGTTTGGAGGGACCAGGGAGGGGGCAGTGGATTGCACAGCAGCAAGGTCCCACATGGGAAAACTTCACAATGACAACAGCTGCTTGACACAGAAATAGAAGAATAAGCAGGGACTTAAAAAAAAAAAAGTCATCCAGCAACTAAGAACAAGTCCAGGAAGTATAACCAGGCAGTCTGACTAGAGGGCCCATGCTCTTGACACTCCAGTGCTCTAAGGAAGGCAAAACCCAGTTGCCCATTTACAGTTTAGCTCAGACCATTCACTTGTGACACGTGTAACCTACCTGTGAGCAAGCCGATTACAGGTCGTTAACCCTCCAAACTCAAGGATGACATCACTGAGCATTTCAGAGTCCTCCCCGCATCGCACAACTGAGACAGGAAAGGCCATCTGTGGGCCAAGTGTGAGAAGAGAGGGAGCTGCGCATACTCCCAGAGACCAGATTCCCACAGGCCTCCAGCATCAGGTCTCTGTAGAGAGCCCTCCCAGCTGGAGCCCAATGCTCCCACTCCCTCCCAGTCACTCCCTCTGACAGATCCGTCAACCTGATGAAGCCTACAACACACTAATCCCAAGTTAGGTGCACTGAATGATGCACATATTTGGTTTTCTGTTTGTTAAAGCCAGAGGCTAAGAGTATGAACGGTAGGAACAAAGAGATGAGAAATTGCTGACGTGTAGTATAGAAAACACATCAATCTGGCCTTGACACTTTATAGACAAAGGTATTAACAGGGATATTTGCAAGTCAGACCACTTGAAGTCATACACACATGCGCGTAACACACATACATCTATCCGGTGTATATGTACGTATGTGTGTATATAGAGTCCTAAGTGACATGTACACACACACAATCAGTATTTGGAAGAAGTCCTTTCTCACCAGACTTCCCTGTACCTTGTCATTACTAAATTAAATCCTGGCTAATTTCTAAGTTCTACTGTGGCTTAGGGGTTTTTGGGTTAGTGGTTATGCTCATAGAAGCCTCCAAAGTTATGACTCTTAATTGTTGCTGTAGGAGCTGTATTTGCTTTATGTTACAGGAATTTAATCAGCCTTTTAGTACCATTTCAGTCTGTCTAAGGAAATAACAGCAGGCTGGAGAACTCCTATCTTTTGAACTTGCAAGGTTTGCCCTTGGCTGGGGTTTGAGACCTTAGAGGTCAGCAGGTTTTGCCCACACCTGGACATGAGTGTCTCAGTGTGCCCAAGTTTCTGGTATAAACAGCGGGGCTTACATTGAACGCCTACTATCCTTCTGGAAACCTAGAACTTGGTGCGTGCTAGGAGAGTCCCACCCCCCTCCAAAAAACGCCGGGTACCGAGAGTTTCTAGGGAGCTTCCCTAGTAGACTTTTTCAATCATTGTCGTAACTCCTTGATGGAGCTCAAATTAAGCACGTCCTGCTTGACTTCCCTGACACAGGACTCTCCAAGCTTGTCTCTGATGTCTGGCCTTCTTCAGTCCTTGTACCTCCTCCCTTGGCTGAGTTCGCTTTCTATCCTTTTGCTATAATAAATCATAGCCAGTGAGTATGACAAAATGTGGAGTCCTGTGAGTCTTCCTAGTAAATCACTGAAACTGGGGATGATCTTGATGATTCCTGACATAATCATTCATTGTGACTTCTAAACTTTTACCGATCTGGCCCTACAAGCCTGTGCGGATTCTCTTCGAGGTCAACATGTCATATACTGTGCCAACCATGTAAACAGCTTTGTGTGAACACTCTGTGAGGGACCCAAACATTACAATAAAAAACACCCTGCTGTGAGTGGCCATTCACTAAGACACACATATACTGAGTCTCTAAGGGGAGAAAAAGTTAAAATGAACATAATGGGACAATGGCTGGAAGTGGATGATGAAAAATGGCTGCAAAGTGTCTGCCCTGGGCAACAAGGCAGAAGACAGCGACATTCGCTGAGATTTTGGGCACCTCAAACACAACGCCAAAATCCAAATGCATGCCTTAGCCCATCTCTACCTCCCAGCCACCTCACCCCTTGTCTGTACTTTCTGCAGTTGCAACAGATTATGCAGCCGTTAGAGTGAGCTTGGTTTATCCCAACCTAAAGGGATGGTCAAGATTTATTGTCAAATGAGAAATGTAACTTGCAGACAAATGATGGTGATTTGTTCTGAAGGGCCCCACAGACCTGCCCTATGGAAGGCAGTAAAGTGGTAAGGGCATGGATTCCGCAGCCTGCCTTCCTGACCTCCAATCCCAAATCCCCATACTTCCTAATCAATTATGAAACCTTGGACAGATGCTTTGTGCCTTATTTTTCTGATCTGTAAAACAGAGATAACATTACCTACCACATAGAGTTATCAAAAAGATGAGTTGATGTGTGTAAAACATTCAAAACAATGACTGAAACATGGTAACATACCACGTCTGCTTGCTCTCATTATTACTGTGGGTGCATCCTCATGGTGATGGCCATGACCACATGACACATGCAGACAGGCTCAGTATGTATGAATACTGATAAGATGTGGAAGGATGATGAGAGAGAAACATTCAACCTGGAGACAAGAATTTGGGGAACTCTGTACATCACTGAGCATAAAATACCTTAAGGGGGGAATTAACTCACTCATGGAACACCTCACAAGTGAGAAAGGAAGGGCAACAGACATTCTGAGAAGCACCGTTTAATAGATGGAAGAAGACACACATCCTCTGAAGGAGCAGGGCATGAACTCACAGAAACCAGGAAAGGACCTTCAAGTCAAAGAGGTGGGCAGCAGTAAATAGGTCCAATAACAGATTGTGTGTGTCGAGGAGGGGCAGTGCAGAAGGTGGGAGGACAAGAGGGAACTTTGGGAGACTTGCTTAAGTCAGGTGACAGTGGTGGAGACCACTGTTTAGTTGTCAGTGGGGTGAAGGGACATGAGGGGGTGGGGACAGACAGTGGACAAAACAGTTACACAGGGTATGTCTATGACAAAAGAGAAGGGCACAGCTCACTGGGCATGTGGGGCAGAAAGTGCCTGGGGGTGAGACTACAGACTTGAACACTTGTATAGATTAAGAGGATAGAAGGGGATTAAGAGGGAGAAGTTAAAGACCAAGCAGGGAGGGTATACAGGAAAGAGGTCCTAGACAAATTGGGGGTTGGGGGTATGTGTCCAGCCACAGAAGAGTAATCCTTGAAGAGAAGTGACCCCTTCTCTGGGGCTATAACAAGGCTTAGAGAGCTGGGGAACTTTACACACAAATCTCCCCTGAAGACTAGAACCCTGAATAATCTGCAGATCACCTTCAGTTTTAAGACCCATTTTTAGAAATATTTGTGGACAAAAGAACTTCCATTTCTCCAGATACTTTAGGATTTCTATTCCAGCATCAAGATAAACCACCAGAGAATCCTGACTTTGGACTACATAGTTTTGCCTGTTTTATAAGAGTCCTTCTTTGGTATTACAACCTAGGCAAGGAAATAGAAAATGTGAAAAAGAAACAGGGAGAAATTAAAAAAAAAAGAAGCCAAAATGAAAACTCAGTGAATAAGCTCAGCAGGAGAGGAAATGAGAGAAAAGAGAATCAGTGATCACAAAGAAAGATCAATGGAGGGGTGCATGGGTGGCCCAGGTCATGATTCTGGGGTCCTGGGATCAAGGCCCACTTTGCAATGGGGAGCCTGCCTCTCCCTCTCCTGCTCCCCCTGCTTGTGCTCTCATAAATAAATAAAATCTTAAAAAAAAAAAAAATCAATGGAAATTGATCAATCTGAGTAACAGAGAGAAAACAGACTGGATAAACAAAAAATCCGAGAACTCATTTAATTCGAGTCCCTGAAAGAAAAGAAAGAGTAGGGCTGAAAAGCTATTTGAAGACATAATTATTGAAAATCCCCCAAATGTGGCAAAGGACCTGTATCTTCAGATTTAAACAGGTGAACAAACTTAAACAGGAGAACTCCAAAAATTCGATGCCAGGACACATCGTAATCAAACTGATGAATTCTATAGACAAAAACACTTTAAAAGCACTTGACAGAAAGGATGCAGCACAGGCAGGGGAACAATGGTTGAATGGCAGTAGGTTTTTCATCTGAAACCACGGAGAAGACAGGGAAGTAACATGTTCTTCTTGTACTAAAAGAACTGTAAACCCCAAGTCTTTTCTCCCACAAAAACATCTGTCAGGAATGAAAGGGACATAGAAAATCTTTTAGATGAAGGAAAACAAAGTCCTTTGTCAACAGCAGACCCACCCCAGAAGAAAGGCTACAGTAAATTTGCCAAACAGAAGGGAAGTGTTAACAGAAGGCCTAGGACTTCAAGAAGGGAGAAAGGGAGGAGGGAGGCGAGCAGGGAGAAAGAACAATGCAATGGGTAACAGAGGTAAACAGCATACTTTTTGTGCGTTTTGTAAAAAATGTTTTCACAGCCCAGGCACAAATTATAACATCCAAATCGGTGCTCAGTGTATAAAGAGAAAATACTTAGAATAATTATATTTAAAACGGAAAATGTAAAGGAACCTAATGGAATTAAGGTTTCTATACATCAAAGTGCTAAAATGCTGATAATACTAGACTGTGATAACTTATGTATGTATAATACCTAGATACAGAAATTAAGACAACATGCAAAAATATTATAGATATACTAAATGGAATTCTAAGAAATGTTGAAGTAACCCACAGGAGGGAAAAACAACAAAAAAACAACACAAAACAGAAAAGCAAAATAACAAAAACAACCAGAAAACAAGATGAACGATATAAAGGGAACACAAACAAAAAACAAATTAAAAAACGGTACACTTAAGCCCTAACATACCAATAATTATTTTCAATCTAAGTGATGTAAATCTACCACTAAAAAGTTAAGACCCAACTATATGCTGTTACAAGAAACTTACTTCAAATGTAATGATACAGATAAAGTTGAAAATAAAATTATGGAAAAATATAAACCATGCAAACATTAATCAAAATGTGCAGTAGGGGGGGCGCCTGGGTGGCTCAGTCGGTTATTAAGTGTCTGCCTTCAGCTCAGGTCATGATCCCAGAGTCCAAGATCGAGTCCCACGTCAGGCTCCTTGTTCAGCAGGGAGTCTGCTTCTCCCTCTGCCCTTCACCCGGCTTGTGCTTTCTCTCAAATAAATAAAATCTTAAAAAAAAAAAAATGCAGTAGGGACTATATTAATATCACTCAAAGTATGCTTCAAAGGCAAGAAAATGAACAGGGACAAAAAGGGACAGGGACATCACATAATGAAAGGGTCAACACACCAAGATAACATACCAATACTAAATGGGAACGCACCAAACAACAGAACTTTAAAATACCTGAAGCAGAAAATGATAATCTATTTTTTTTTAAGATTTTATTTATTTATTTGAGAGAGCAAGAGAGCACACAAATAGAGTGGCAGGCACAGGGAAGAGGGAGAGGGACAAGCAGGCTCCCTGCTGAGCAGAGAGCCCAATGTGGGGCTCCATCCCAGGACCCTGGGATCACGACCTGAGCTGAAGGCAGATGCTTAACCAACTGAGCCACCAAGGCACCCCAGAAAACGACAGAATTTAAAAGATGAACAGACTGTTATACTTCAGGACAGTTCTACATCAGGACTTCATCATCTCTCTCTCTCTGGAATTGACAGAAATACTAAACAGAAAGTCAGTAAGGATATAGAAAATTTGAATACTACTACCAACCAAGAGGACTGTGCGGACATTTATAGAAACTCCACCCAATGACAGCAGAACAACATTCTTTTCAGGAGGCCTTTTAGAACATCCAATAAAATAGACCGTATCTTGGGTCATAAACACTTCAACAAATTTAAACAGACCAAACTAGAAATCAGTAACAAAAGATAACAAAAGTACTCCAAACACTAGAAAACTAAATCATAATCCATGAACCCATTAAAGTCTCTATAAAGAAATTGAGAAACATTAGAGCTGAATAAACTGTAATGAGAACTTACGGGATGAGGCTGTCACAGTGCTGTGAGAAAACTTTATAGTACTAAATGCTTACATTAGAAAAGAAAAAAGAGCAAAATACAACCAAAGTAGAAGATATAAAGATCAGAACGGAAATTAGTGAAATTATGAAGAGAAAAATCAGTGAAATAAAGTACTGATTTTCCAATATGATCAGAATTGATAAATGCCTAAGAAGATGGACAAAGATAGAAAGAGAGTGGACATATTTCCAAAATCAGGAATCAAATGAGATAGAAGTACAGATTCTGCTCCCATTAAAATAGTAATAAGGAAATAAACAAGTCTATAAACTAATTAGAAAATTTAGATGAAATGAACAATTCCTTGAAAAGGACAAACTTCAAACTATCCAATATATCCAACATCAAAATTATTCTGAATTCAAGAAATTAGAGGAAAACCTCAACAAAATACAATCAAATGGAATGTTTTAATATATATTATATATATATAAAAAATTCATGCTCTGCAACCAAATGGGATTTATTCCAAGGATGCCAGGCTGGTTCAATATTCAAAACTAGTCAATGTAATACATTATATCAACAGGCTATGGAAAAAAAATCAGATGATAACATCAACTGATGGAGGCAAAGCATTTGAAAAACTCTAACACTCATTCATAACAAAAAAAACCTCAGCAAATTAAGAATAGATGGAAAATTTCTAAACTTGATAAGAAAACTTAAAAAACAAAAAACCTTCAGCTAAAATCACACGATGAAAACCTGAACATTTTCCTCCTAATATGAGGAATCAGTCAAGGGCATCCTTTCTTACTACTATTCAACATCAAGTTGGAAGTCTAACTAGTGCAGTGAGATAAAGTAACAGATATACAGATGGGAAAGAAGAAAAAAAACTCTATATGCAGCAGACAGGTCTTTGCAGAAAAGCCTGAGATTTTACCCAAAGAAATGTCTACAAATAATGTGAGTTCACCATGGTTGCAGGATACCAAAATATCACTCCAAAAACAATTATCTTTCTGCATACTACTAAAGATCATATGGAAAAATGAAACTGTAAAAATCAATGCCATTTATGATCATTCCAAAAAAAAACCCCCAAAACCCTAGATACAACTCTTAACAAAAATGTACAGAACCTGTTAGGTTGAAAATTATAAAACAGTAGTGAAATATCAAGAATTACTTAAATAACTGACTTGGCATACCATGTATGGTGTTCATGATGCTGCTTTTCAACAAACAGATCTACAGATTTCAACCAATTCCTATAAAAATGCAAGCAAGATTTCTTTGCATCCTAAGATTTATATGAAATGTCAAAAGAATTAGGAAAGCTAAATCAATTTAAATAAGAATACAGAGGAATCACTTTACCCAATTTTGAGGTTTACCATATAGCTACAGAAATTAAGTAAATAGACCGGATCAAGAACAAGTCTGAAAAAGTCTGTTTGGTGTTTAAAACCAAATAAAGAACAGTTTTCTAAAAATGTAAGCTTTAGAGTCTTAACTGGTACAATAAAATGTGTTCTTACGTGTATATTTATCACTTTAATAACCTGTCCTCAACTGTCTAACCCTCCTGACATTGGACAGCAATGAATGTATATACATGACACATACAGGGTCAAGGCCCACTGCCTCTGAAACATCTCCCTGGCCCCAAGTAAACTAAGGAATCCATGACAAAGTGCTGTAAGCTGGACAGAGAAGTCTCAAAAGTTTTTCATTTCATTTGCTCTTCTACATCTCCAACTTCTTTTTATAAAAATTCCTGAGATAACATTGCAGTGTAAACTAAGGAGAAACATGTAGCTGCGTTCTACTTCATGCACAGTAAACGCTGCTCTCCCCCTCACAGATGAATTCTCAGATGCAGAATAAGGCTCTGGGCTCAGTCAATCTCTAAAATGTGTCTCTACGTGACTACTGATGGTCTGGGATGGAAGATTTTCTCACAGCGTAGATACTTGGGGGGTTTCTCTTTGGTGTGTCCGATCAGATGCCACGGTAGATGTTTTATCTGGCAAAAGGTTTTCTTCAGTGGTTACATTCAAGAAGTCTTTCCCCAAAAGGAGTTCTCGGAGGGTGACTGAGGACTGCCCACTCGTGAAGGGTCTTCCCACTTCTGTTACACTGACAGGGTTTCTCCCAGTATGAATCCTCTGATGCTGAGTGAGGGATGAGCTGCGACTGAAGGCTTTTCCACACTCACTACACTTATAGGGCTTCTCTCCAGTGTGGATAATAGCATGTCGAATGAGGTTTGTGCTCCAGCAAAAGGATTTCCCACACTCCATGCATTCATAGGGCTTCTCTCCACTGTGAATCCGCTGGTGCCTCGTGAGCCCTGACCGACGGTTGAAGGCCTTCCCACACTCTGAGCACTCAAAGGGCTTCTCCCCAGTGTGGATGCTGAAGTGTCGAATGAGGTCTTTCCTAGTGCTAAAGGCTTTCCCACATTCTTTGCACTCAAAAGGTTTTTCTCCAGTGTGGGCCCTTTTATGCAAGATGAAAGTAGAGCAGTGGGTGAAGGCCCGTCCACATTCAGTGCACACAAAAGGCTTCTCCCCAGTGTGAATTCTCTGGTGCCTCTTGAGGTATGACCTGTGGTTGAAGGCCTTCCCACACTCTAGGCACTCAAAGGGCTTCTCCCCAGTGTGGATGACGTAGTGGTGAATGAGGGCTGCACTCTCACAGAAGGCTTTCCCACACTCACTGCACTCGAAGGGCTTCTCCCCAGTGTGAGTCTGCTGGTGCCACACGAGGTATGACTTGTGTTTGAAGACCTTGCCACACTCGAAGCATTCATAGGGATTCTCGCCACTGTGGATGATGTGATGTCGAAGGAATCCTGGCCTGTGTCGAAAGACTTGCCCACATTCTTTGCACACAAAGGATTTCTCTCCAGTGTGCCTCCTCTTATGCAAGACGAAATTGGAGCGGTGCGTGAAGGCCTTCCCACATTCGTTGCACTTATAAGGCTTCTCTCCACTGTGAATCCGCTGGTGCTGTGTAAGGTATGACTTGCGGTTGAAGGCCTTCCCACACTCCATGCACTCGTAGGGCCTCTCCCCCGTGTGGATCATGTGGTGCTGGAGGAGGTGTGTGCTCTTAATAAAGGTTTTCCCACACTCGGTGCATTCATAGGGCTTCACTCCAGAGTGAATCTTTTCATGTCCAGCAAGAAGGTGCTTCTTGTTAAAAGTTTTCCCGCATTCGTTGCACTTAAAGGTATTTTCCTCTTCCTGAATCATGGGATCTTTACCTGATCCACACGAGTCATGGTCACGGGCAGCACCTCCTGAATGGATCAGCTCCTGTGCAACCTGCGAACATATACCATCAGCTGTCCCTAAACCATTATGTTCAGGGCTTGTTTTCTCAGAGAGCTTCTCCCTCTGAGGTTCCAACCCTGGTCTCAAGTGTCCTTCCTGCAGTTCTAATGGCCCACTCTGATCCTTGGTTTGGCCCAGCTGGAAATTCCCTGGGTCTCCCTGTCCTAGTTCCTGGAACAAGGCCCCCTCAGACAGGGCTGGTGCACAAGGGGAAAGTTCTGTAGTCTTGGGTTTTCCCTTGTCACCTGAAAGAAACCCAATACACAAAAAGACCTGTTAGTAATGACAACACAGAAAAAAACAATCAGCATTTCAGTGAAAAAAATGAAGATGAAAACAGTGCCTGTGTCTGTGAGGTTTTATTACCTCTGAATCTCAGGGCTGCATTTTCTTTTTTTTCCCCTGGGCCTTGGACTGTTGACACCTTGAAAGGGAGACCCAGGAGAAGTTATGTGAGGGGACGGAGGTCTGGAATGGAGACTCCACTACAGTTCCATACTAGATGCAGCTGGACAGACTAGTGAGAATGCTGTATGTTTGGTCCCCTCTAAGTGAGGACGTTGCTGTAAGAACACTAGCACTAGGAAAGGGCACCTAATGGAGCCCTGATAGAAGACAGAAAGCGCACAATGCAAAATTAACTTTCCCTAAAAGAAGTTTGGTCTTTGTCCCAGCTCCAAAGAAGTAACCTCTCAACACTATTTAGTTCCAGAGTGAAAGACCTGTCTTTGTCATTCATGGTGGGTGCCTAAGAATGCACCTGATACTTTATGACAACACATAACTTATCATGGGCCCCTAGTTTATACGAAAGAGATGACTCAGGGTAAGGTCTGGCCACATCAGAAAAACCCACCATATAATTAGAAAGCTGAGGCTTTGAGCCACGAGGTATCAGCTGGACCTCTGGAAAGGAAAAAAGGGCTAGAGATGGAGTCCCATGGGCAATGACTCAATCAATCATGCTTATGTAATGAAGGCTCAATAAAAATACTGAGGCTCTGGCCAATTTCCTGGGTTGGCAATATCATGCACCTACTGTCACACAGGATGCCAGGAGGTAACAAGTCACTGAAGACACGGGAGTTTTGTATTTGGAACACCTCTGGCCCCTCTTCTAAGTTGCACCTTTGTCTGTAACAAACATGATTGAAAGTATAGTATAACAGCTTTTAAGAAGTTTTTTGAGTCTTTCTATCAACTCATTGAACCTGAAGGTAGTTCTGGGAAATCTCTGAACTTCCAGTGGTTTCAGATGACTTGGGCAGGCTTGGCAGTCTTAGGAGTTCTGTGTTCTTAGCCTTGAGTTTGCATGGCTGACTGTGTGCAGAAAGAGATCCAAGGGAGTTTTCTAGTAAGAGGTGCCCATGATATGAGTCCTACTGGCATCACAGGAATTACCACAGAAAAAGTACAAAGGGCACAGTAGCCTTAGGAGACAGAATGTACAAAGGGGCCAAGAGCATGAAGATGGTACTGATGAGGATCCAGGGAAAGGTAGGAGAGAAGGAAACAGGATTCCCAAGGTTGTGACAGGGATGACAGTGAGGCCTGCCAGGACAAGGCTCATAAGGCAGGAGGTGAGCAGGACTGGGCTGGACATACTGAGCCTGGTTTGCCCGAGGAGCAGTCTGGTAAAAAGACTCGCAAGATACACATGATCTAGATGAGAAAATGATAATACTGTACTTGAAGACATTAATGGTCAAAAAATTTTCCATATAAATCAGTGGTAATTTAGGGGCGCCTGGGTGGCTCAGTTGGTTAAGCGACTGCCTTCGGCTCAGGTCATGATCCTGGAGTCCCTGGATCGAGTTCCGCATCGGGCTCCCTGTTCGGCGGGGAGTCTGCTTCTCCCTCTGACCCTCCTCCCTCTCATGCTCTCGGTTTCTCATTCTCTCTCTCTCAAATAAATAAAATCTTAATAAATCAATCAATCAATCAATCAATCAATCAATCAATCAGTGGTAATTTCTTCTACACTTTATGCCATTTTGGCTAATGAAAAGTTTCCCAGGAATGCTCTAATTCTGCATAGTGGGGAAGCCTGTATGTCCATCATTACTCAACAAAACCCGGGGGAGGAGGGACTTAATAATATAAAACTGACAATTCTACCCAAGTGAATAAAAAAATTCAGTACAATTCCCTATAAAATGGCAACTGGGTCATCAAGGAACTTCAGAGTCTGATGGTAGGACTTGTAGGGAAGATCAAACAGGCAAGAATAAGGAGAAGGATACCTACCGTCTCAGATAATAGTACTGTGATGGAATTACAGACTCTCAGACACTGTGGTACTGGCATAGAGAGAAGACAAACGGGCAACAGAAAAAGAATAGAGAGCTCAGGAAACACACACACACAAACACACGTAGCTCTGGTGGATGGCAGAGGAGGCAGAACAGCTCAGTGGTAAAAGGAGAGAAAACACAGTACACGGAGCTAGAAAAATTGGTGTCACCCTGGGAATGTAAAAACTATTCCTATCTCACACTACCTTCAAATCCTACCTCAGATCAAGGAGAGTTAAATGTCAAATACCAAGTTTAAACATTTTTAGGATAAAATAAACAAAAATATCTTTTTGATGTTGGGGGATAAAGATTTTAATACAAGACAAAATCATTAATTATATAAGAAAATTACAGGGAGCGCCTGGGTGGCTCAGTTGGTTGAGCAACTGCCTTCGGCTCAGGTCATGATCCTGGAGTCCCTGGATCTAGTCCCGCATCGGGCTCCCTGCTCAGCAGGGAGCCTGCTTCTCCCTCTGACCCTCCCCCCTCTCATGTGCTCTCTCTCTCTCTCATTCTGTCTCAAATAAATAAATAAAATCTTAAAAAAAAAAAAGAAAATTACACTAAAATAAGAACCTTTATTCAGTAAAATATACTTTAAATAAGTGAAAAAACAATATTGAAAAGTAGAAAATTATATCTGCAGCACCTATAATCGATGAAAGGTTAAGTGTAAGGAATGTACAAAGAATCCCTACAAATCAAAAGCAAACGAATTAACAGAAAAATAGGTATTTATCATGAAATGACATTTCAAAAGAGAAAATACAGGTTGACCAATAATCATATGATCAGGTGCTAAAGCTCCTCAGCAATGAAGGAAAAGCAAATCAAGACCACGTAAGATACAGTTTTGTGTTCATTTGATTGTCAACGATTGAGGAGCCTTAGAATATCAAGTATTGGGCAAAGGAGTATCAAGTATAGGTTGAAGGAACCTCCACGCTTTCCTGGGGAAAATGTAAATTGGTACATGTCCTTCAACACAATGGCAATTATCCAGTAAACTTGGAAGCTTGCATAGCCCATAAACCAACAATTTCACTCCAAGAAACACCAAAGACACCGTAACCATGTGCAAGATGATTGATACAGGACTGCTCCTGGCAGCACCATGTATGAGAGTCAAAACATGAATAACTGAATGCACACAGAGTGGATGAATACGATGTGAGACAGGAACTTTTTATTGATTTTCTTCAACTGTAAGAATTTGAGCCTATTTTTATGTTGAGTAGAGAAAGGATGACATTACATTACAAAACAAACAATATGAATGAAGACAACATTTTCCTGAAAAGGTGTGCTCTAGACTCTGGTTCAGGAACTGGCTAGGGCCAGGGGCAAGACCTCTCTCGCTAGGTCTTGGAAGGGGAAGCTGCAGACACCGGAGCCTGAGAGAGTGCGGTAGGGTCGAGGATCAAGCGATGGAGGAGGCGGACTTTACTTTCAACGCAAAGACCCGCTGACACCTCAGGGGTCATATGCTGAGACATCCACAGCTGGGGAAGTGGTAACCACCCGAACAAAGTCTGAGCTCCTGGGGTAGCTCATGCAGGATACAGAGCTGACTAGAGGCACCAGCAGATGCAGAGGCCGGTTAGGAGACTAGTAGCGTCCCCCAGAGAAAAGATGATAGGAGCGTGCACGGAGCGTGGGGACGGGTCTGAGGGAGGTAGTGCAAGTAATGGATTCAGGAGATGTACAAGATGTGCAATGCACAGGACTGGGGCATGGCCGGATATGGGGACTGAGGGAGGTGGAGGTGTGAGGAATTCTCTGAGGCTGTACCCAGTCTCTAACCTGCTTGGGTGGCAGGACCATTCACTGAAACTTGGGAGGTAAAAGGAGTGAGCAACATTCTGGGTCCCCTGCCAGGCACGCTGACTTCGGGTCAAAGGGCTCCGTGGCTTCCAAACCCCAGAGAGGCCAGACAAAAAGCTTCCCCAGGGAACCAGGGCCAGTGGTCTCCTACTGGTCTTGAGCCTGCAGGGTCTCCCACCTGCCCACATCTTGGCTCCTACCTGGATAGGCGCTTTGAGACAGGTCTCTCTTCACCATCCATAGCTCCTGCCCGTGCTCCAGCTGGTAGATCAGCTCAGGTCTAGGAACAGGACACCCTATTCACAGAGAAAGAAAGAAGACACTAGGGTTTCTGTGAAAAGAAAGAAAACCTCTCCATCTAGTCTGGGACTTCAGGATGTGGATATGACCTCAGAATGAAGCTACTCCCATCCACACTAATAAAATACTAACCTGTCACCTGGAAACAGGCACAAACACCACTGCTGGGATCTAAAGACTTTAGACAGTAGTGCTGGCCGTGTAGACAGCACCTATTCCCTTTGGCTTCCAGCACACAGAATCCCAGGGAATATGACCCCCTCCTTCCAGAAAGTGTTTCCTAATCAATCCAAGTGAGTCTCAACCGTGCGTGCATCAACACCTCCTGGGATGTCGGGTTCACATCCAATGGAAACGAAATCTCTGTAGGTGAGGCCTGGATATCCGTAGATTTTAAAACCTCTCCAGATGATTCCGGCATCAAAGGAAGGTTGAAAAACCAGTCTCTACCAACCTGCAAGTGGCATTCCTCAATCACCAATAGTTAGAGGTACGCAACTTTAGAAAGCTCTATTCCAGGATGGCTGAATGAGGGGATCTGCTGCTCCTGTTGTCTGGCGGCATCCCGGGACTTTTGTGAGGGAGCCTGCCTAAAAGACCTAGACCACAGAGAGGAAGTAAAGAAACACACAGCTGGGTTATCACCCACCCACCTGGGAGTCAGTCCCACCTCTGAGCTTCTTATTACGTGAGATAATAAATTTCCTTCAGGGTGAAGACTGATCTGCTCTGTCATATGTAGCCAAACACAGATGCAGGGTAAAAAGACACAGGACTCTATCGAGAAGTCAAGGGCAGAGGCACCAGGACCCACAGAAGGCTGCTCTGGCAGATCCTGAACAACACCCCAAGATTATCAGTTGTCACTAAGCAAATCCCGCTCGTATCTGCTACACGCTCAGCACAGGGCCCAGTAATGGGGCAGTGGAAAGGGGAGGAAGACTCCCCTTCAGCTCTATGGGGCTTTGGGAAGCTGAAAGCCCAAGAGAAAAAGGAGGGGGGTGCGCTTTAAAACTCATGTACCAAGCAAATACCAGGTCTAGAAAACATAACTCATTCCAAACTATTTATTGATTTAAAATAGTAACAAACCCCTAGATACAGAGGGAGAAAATAAAAGATAACTAAATAAGACACGGTATATAACTAAATCACAGTCTATAATTTGACCCAATTGGAAATGCAAAATTTATATACTAAAAACTTATATAGTAAGTCATATATAATAATTATGCACAGCATAACAAAATTTATGCTCCAAAAAAATTTTATCACCAAAACGTAACACGGCACTGATTGGTTTTTCTGACTCTACAATATAGGTCTGAGTTAACTTTAGAATTTGCTAAAATGCAGCAAATGACAAAACTTCATACATTTAATTAATACTAGGGCTCAAATCATAATGATACCTGGAAATCACACTAAATTTAAATATTACTCTGCCCAAACTTAAAAAGCAGCGAAATAGAGAGGAAAAATACGTATGTCTTACTTTAACTGTAGACTTGCCTATATTTCCCCTATTCATAGTATCCATTGTCCTAAAATGTCCCATTTTGGGCATGGATGCTCACAAATTAACTTGGTAAAATGGGACCCACAAACACCAGTTAAGAAAGTGAACATGGCCCAATGGAAGCTGGAAAAGGGCCTCCAGGGAGTAAAACTTCATATAACAGCTAATCAATAAAGGAATGACTGTCCTACTGCCTCTCCATTTGACAGTCCAGTTGTATCTGTTCTTAACCCTGGGAAAAATAAAGGGCTCCTCCTGGTGGGTTACTACAATCTTAATGCGGTGGTCCATCCATTAGGGTTCCTGCTAAGGACCGAGTGTGTCTGCCCCTAAATGTCATTACTTAGCCCAAATTCCCAATGTGATCACATCTGAAGATAGGGCCTGTAAGGAGGTAATTAAGGTTAAATGAGGTCGCGGGGATGTGGCCCCAATCTGGGAGGACCGGTGTCCTTAAAGAGGAGGATGAAGGGGCCTTTCCGAGCCAGAGGCAGGGCCACGTGAGGACACAGCACGAAGGCAGCAGCCAGGAAGAGCTCATCATCAGAAACCCGTCTGCCGGCACCTCAGGTCTGGGACTTCCAGCCTCCAAATGCCATGAAAATAAAGCTGTTGTTTAAGCCACACAGTCTGGCAGCCAGGGCTGATCCACACAATCCACACACCCAATATCCAATATAAATAAATTAATAACGTTATCGAATCAACAACCGGGCGACGATCTTGGGCTTACAGATCTGGTGGACCGTGTTCTGTTCAGGGCCTGTTTCAACGGCTTCTCTGCCAGCCTGCCTTTATTCTGAAGGTAAACACTTCTTCTTTCCCAGGCTGCCTATGAGGCTGGCTCCACAGCTCGGCTGCTGCAAACAGTCTCTGCACACAAGAGCTTAACTGCACCCACCTTTCTCCAGTAGCACAGGTATGACGGTACATTGACGACAGCCTCGTCCAAGGAAATTCATTCGACACATTCATATGGATACATAAATCCAGTCTTTTAGTCCCATTGTGGGGACAGTTTCAGCTAATACTACTACTTAGTATTATTTGGGGGCTGGTGACTGCATTCCTCATTTATAAATTTTATTTAATCTCACTACTGCTGTTAGTTACAAACCAGCCCAACAAAGGATTCCCTCCAACAAAGACTCTAAGATCTATTCAAAATACTGTTAACAGCACAAGCTCAGCACAGCTCCTGAGGACTCTGTAAGACAGAATGGAACCCCATCTGGGCCCTCTGGCCTAACTCCACTTGTAGGAGGTGGTAGCTTCTCCTGTCCTCAGTCGCATGCCAGATGCTACGGTGCCGGAGGAGGCCAGCCCTCCCCCAGACCCTCTGGCTACCTGGAAAGTCCCTTGAGATTAACAGAGTGAACAGTTATGGGAGTTTGTGGACGATTAGAAAGACACTGCTATCCATCATACACGATGGAGTTCAGTGGAATGTTGCTGCTTTCTATTCCTGAGCCAGAATGTTCTAAATGAAAAATGGGACCTAAGAAACATTACTTGGCCAAACTTCGGGGGGGGGGTATCTTAGCACCAAATGCCCCGATTAACAAATGGCCCCATCTCCACATTCATAATAAAGTGCTGGGCCATTGCCTAAAAATGGTCTGCTTTGCGGTAAAGAACTCTTCAGAACCTCTTGTCTCACAGACACTCCTAAGAGAAGTCAAATCACACATCTCTGCACATACAGCCACAACACAAAGCTCTGCCAGGACATTCCTTATTCCCTTCAGAGTTGCAGGCAATCCTGGTAATAGACACACATTTCACTTCTCAAATGACGCAATGCTACGTACGCTCTGGGAAGAGACATTCAACAGAGCTTTCATGGCCCAGACATGCCCCAAGTCGCTGGTTTAAGTAAAAGACATAATGGTCACTTGAAACTACTCCTTTTAAATTCCAGTGTGACAAATAAACCCCTAAATGGGTCTCTATCTTGCCTTAATAAAAGGCCTCTTGGCCTACTTACACCCCACACTAATACCACTGTTTCAACCAAGCATGGCAAAAACCCCATCAACCTGAGTGGGCACTCATTTGCAAAGGATACCCCAGTCACACACCCAGACAACATCGTCCCAGACCAGCACCTCAACAATGAAGACGACTCCACCCCCTGATGTTAAAACCTTCACCCCAGCAAATGTCCACAGATTGCCTCTCCTAAGACAGAAATTAGACACAGGACCTTTTTTGCTTTCTATTAGGAATTCTATTATGTTCCGGAGGTGACTTTTAAAAAACTTCTAAGGAGGAAGGGTAAGGGTAACGAATCCTGTGAATATAACACTGGAACACTTGGTTCCATCCCTTAACCTCTGTGGAGGCAAGAAGGGCTGGAGATTGAGTCCAGTCACCAACGGCCAGTGATTTCATCAATTATGGCTATGTAATGAAGCTTTCACAAAATCCCTAACTAAAGTCGTTCAGTGAGTTTCCAGGTTGGTTAACACAACGAGGTGCTAGAAGGGTGGCAAGCCTAGAGGGCATGGAAGCTCAGTGTCCTTTCCTACGTACCTTGTTTGCATCTCTTCCATTTAGTGGTTTCTGAATTTAAAACAGGTAATATTAAGTAAGGTGCTTTCCTAAGTTCTGTGAGCCACCCTAGCAAATTATCAACTCTGAGGAAGGGGTCCTATCTCTGATTTACAACCAGTTGATCAGGACAGGTGACAACCTGGACTTGGGACTGGCATCTGAAGTGGATGGGTGGGAGGGCAAGGGGCTGCCCTAGGAGACTGAGCCCTTAACCTGTGGGATCTGTGCTAACTCCAGGTAGTCAGTGTCAGAACTGCATGGTGTGAAAACAAAATTTTAGTATCAGAAGTTGCTGAGTAGAGGAAAAAGTTTTTCTTTTACACACAACTACAACACACACGGGCACGTGTGTACAAGTGTATGCATGCGTATATATACACAAAAATACACACATATAGATATGTAAAATATACAATAGCACCTCCCTGTGTCGTCTGTCACTAAGTCACCTCTATAAATTAAAATCTTTTAAGTACAAATTAATAGAGGGGGAATGCTGTGGGAATTTAAACGAGTGGAGCACGAATAGGCCCGAACAGTCCTGCTTGGTCAGTGCTCAGGGCATCTGTGCTGATGATTATGAACTGCTTTTTAACATGACTCATGTTTGATTTTTCTTACTTTCTTCAAAGAAAGAATCTTGCATCACTCTGGTAAATGGGAAACCTAGAGTCACTTCCTTTGGTAGCAGGTCACCACGAAAACTCAGCAATGAAATCAAAATGATGTTAAGTCCCAGTGACCTCATGCTCCCTACTCAGGGCTATAAACTCAAGGCTACTCCGTTTTAAAGGGAAAAGTACCAACAATTGGAGCGTGGGGGGAATGAAGAAAGTATATTAACATTCAGCACTAAATCCAGACTTGCCATCAAAAACAATCAGAAGGCAGGAAACGATTATGTCAGAGTGTCTCTCAATGTCCGTTGATGAAGTATTCCTAGACTCTCTGAAACAAGGTTTCTCAATCTGGCATAATTACTTGGGTTCATGGGCATGATTATTTAGGTCAAGATAATTCTTTGTTGGGAAGACAGGGAGGAAACTGTCCTGGGCATTGTAAGGATGTGTTGGCAGCATTCCAGGTCTCCACCCACTAGGTGCCTGTCCCACCTCCATCCCACCTGTGACAACCAAAAATCTCTCCAGACGCTGACCAGTGTCTCCGGGGACGACACCATCGCTGGATGAGAACCACTGGCATAGAGAGTTATAACCAGGATGATGAGACAAGTGAGGGGGTGGGGGAGGGGCCCCCATGAGATCTGCGGGTCAGGACACAGCTGGCGAGGTAGTGATTATGCACAGAAGGGGTGACCGTGTGAGAGGCTGAAATGCCCAAGAACACTCCCCAGGCAGACACAACAGCAAGCAGAGGCCCGAGGCAGGGCTGCGCGTGGGGAACTCACTAGAAGCCCTGCACAGCCAGAGCACAGTGAGCTCAGGGAAAGCACTGACGGTGACGGATGAGGTCAGCAGGAAAAGAGAGTAGACTTTTTATTTTGAAACACTTTGTTATGAAATCTTTAATCTAGCCAACTTTTCTAATTTTGCTTTTTCTCTTCTCACTGACAGACATAATTCCAGTTCTCTAAGAACAGGCATGTCGCATCCTAAGCTCTGGATTTATAGCCCTCCTTTCCCTCAAATTGAATGGCATCGTGGTCGTTCTCCTCAAGCAGAGAAACATCTAAGCTGGTGTTTCTCAACCGTGGCACTCTGGACGCTGCAGGCGGGATAGTCCTTCATTGAGGACGGCGGTCTTGTCCATCGAAGGATGTTTACGGCATCTTTGGACTCCAACCACTAGATGCCAGGACCACCTACACCCAAGGCCAGACAACCCAAAGTGGCTGCAAACACTGCCAAATGTCTCCTGGGGGTACAAATCCCAACTGCTGAGAAGTATTACTCTAACCCCTCTCTTGTACTGGCAGAGGATGTTGGCCCTTGAAACAAGTGATAATCTCGGAGGCACACAGACACAAAGGAGCCCCATAACCGAGATCATGCCGTTTGGGACAATACCTGTTGGCACTGAAGGCAAAGGCCTCCCGGGGGCCTGCCTGCCTCACTCTCTTCTTGGAGAACATCCCATCACTCACAGCCCTGCTGAGGACACTTGAGCCAATCAGGCTCACGCAGTCAGCTCCCTCTCTGGAATGTGAAATAAGAACCTCGGATGGAGGCCAGTCTGCGCTGGGCACTGGGTGAGAGGTCCAGAGAAGTACTGGCTCGGGTGGCCATTCCTGCCCCAAGGACACCCACACAGCCCAGCAGCACACAGAGAAAGAGGAACAACATAAACACGCAAAGACGCGGAGACCAGGAATCGGGGGGCCAGAGAGAGCAGGGCCAGGTGGCCAGTCCTGTCACAAGCTGATGAGGCAGAAAAAAACCTTTCTGCATACAGTGACATGAGCAGAGAGAGCCAGAGAGAGAAGCCGGGACAAGAGACCAGAAGCCAGGGTATAATCGTGGTGGTTGCCAGTTCCTCTATCAGTCCCTCACAGGACCCAGCTGGAAACCCTCCCTCTGGGTCTGCAGAACAGCCGCCTTTCCTTCCATTACTTTCCAGGAGCCAGAGAGGAACTGTTTCTTGCCCAGACATACACAGGAGAGCAGGCCCAAAGAGATGAGTCTAGAAAATGACTGAAGCTGCAGGCGGGCGGGGGGGGGGGGGGGGGGTTCCAGAGGCCTTCTTGACCAGCCAGGCCTGGAGCCAGAGGGTGCTCTGACAAGAAGGTGGCAGGTCCCCCCATGGTGGAGTGCGGAGGACTCACCCAGAGACACCAGAAGGCCACAGTTTTCCAGCATCACCTCCTGGTACAGGCTCCTCTGGGCCGGGTCCAGCTGCCCCCACTCCTCCTGGGTAAAAGTCACGGCCACATCATCGAAGGTCACAGATATCTGGAAAGTCAAACAGAGGTAGCAGCGTTGGCCTTGCGGCTGTTGGATGTGATCAGAGCTCATCCCTACATCCCTGGTAAAGATGCAGAGTGACCACGGCTCGAATCACCAAGCACCTCCTGAGGGCCAAGCTCTGTGCTGGGCTCAAGGGGCAGGTGGGCAATGCTTCGGATGCGCTACGGTAGCGTAAGGGAGAAGCTCCCTCCGTGGGAGCCACCGCAAGGTCACACAGGACGATGGAAATGACGCGAGGACTGGGAGACGCAGACAGCAAGGGCTCTAGGACGTCGGAGGAATGAGTGAGTATGATAATACCAGCATCAGTAACAACAGCAGTACCTGAGCCTCACTGGTCCTGCTAGCTGCCTGCCCCATGCTGAGGGCTTCACATCCTGGTGAGAGGGACTGTAAGGCCCCAGTTCTTAAGTCAGTCTCCTGTGGCTTGCATCCAAACTCTTGAAACCCGACACTTGCCAGCTGTGTTACCTTGAAGACATCACTTCATTTCTCTGAGCCTCGGGTTCTGGATCAATACAATAATAGTTCCCACTTCACCAGTAACAGTTGTGCGATTTAAACAGAAATTACTCAGTGCTCAGTGTGCTTTGGGATTTTCACTGCTTCTTCCACAGCCCATGACATCTCATCACCTTCGTGGCATAGTCAACGAAAGGCTAAGGGAGCTCCACCAATTCATGCAAAGTCTCGCGTTTTACAAACCAGAAGCCAGATTTTAAGACAGATTACCCTAACACAGTGTTGAAAAGAGTAAACTGGACATTCCTCCATAATCAGAGTAACTGCAAGTAAGGAGGCTATGAAGCATTTACCCCCGTTTTTGCTGTTAAATACACTTCCATGCACCCGAACAGGGACCGAGGGGCGGTGCCCTCATCACTAACCACACAGGAACGGCCCACTGATGGGGTGGCACCTCCTCGGGTAAATGGCAGGGCCCGGTTTGTTCCCCACGGGCCTCCCAGGCGAGGGGGAGATGCCACAATGAACCATACGCCCCTTTTTCCTTCCTGAGCTCTGACAGCCTTTTTCCCGAGGCCAGGATACCCCAGGACCAGGGAGCGCAAACAGCTACAGGTAACACAGGCCCTGGCCACCAAGTGTCTGGCTGAGGGCTGGTGGCGCATCCCGCAAACGACCACAGGATCCCGCCCTCCAAAGGCACTCGGCAGCCGGGAGGAGCCACAGCAACCTCACAGGCCCTCGTGGGCCTCCCTAAACCACCAACGCACTTGGCTTTTGTCCACGCACCTCGTCTGAAAAGCTCTCCCGCCTCCGCCCGGTGCCCAAGGTCACCTGTTGGAGGAGGACGGGGGGCAGCGCGGGCCAACCCAGGGCATGGCGGGGGGTGGAGCTCGCCGTAAGAACGACGGGGGTCCCGGCGGAAGCATCATTCGTGCCTTCTGCACCTGGCGGGACCGGGGGTCAACCAGGTGGCGCGCCAGGCCGGACGCCCCCACACACAACCGCAGACACACGCCCAGCGGACGTCGGGGCGGCCGGCCCTGCCGGGCCCGTGTGCTCCCTCACAGAGAAGCCGCAACCCCCAAACCAACGTCCACTGACCTGGGCCTGGCCGGTCGGCGGCGCCGCCATCGCGGGGCCCCGCGGGTGAGCGAGGCGGGGAGCGGCGGGCACCGCGCAGCCCGCTGGCCACACCTCTGCTCTGCGCGCCCCGACGACCTCGGCGGGCAGCGGCAGGCCGGCCGCAGCGTCCCCCGAGTGAGAGGCACACGCCTCGGGGCGCCGCCCTCGGCGACTGCGGGGATGAGCGCGGCCGCAGAGGCCGCGGCTCAGCGGGCGGCCGGCGGCGCACACCCGCCGCAGGGGGCCACGGCCCGTACGAAACGCGACCGTGAGCTCTTTCCTCCCTCCCGGCTCGCTCCCCACCAAAGGGCCAAGGTGCGGCGCCGGCCCAGCCCCCGGCAAGGCCCCGCCGTCCCAGGGCCAGCGGCGGCGGCTAATGGCGACGGCAGGGGAACACCCGGAAGTCCCGCCCACGCACGTAGCCAGGGAACGCCCCTTTCCGGGGCTGTCCGTGGCCAGCGCCGCCCCCGATGCCTTCTGGGTACTGTGGTTTTGCGCCTCGGTGTCCGACCGCGCGAGGCGGGGCTTGGGCAGGAGCGCTCCCCCGAGAGGAGGGCGCACGAGCGACCGGGCAACCCCTCTGCTTCTTCGGATTCGAGAGGAGCGAGGGACAGGGGCGAGGGCCTTCCTTCTGTACCTGGGGAAACTGAGGCTCGGGAGGCAGGGACGGTCGTCAGCGTGGGGGCATATGCCAAGGCACAGAACTCGCCCTTGACCCGAGGCTGGCCTGTTGACTTCCCCTTCTGGGTACCGCCTCCCCCGAGCCTCTTCTCTGGGAGCAGACAAAACAGTAGTTTAAAGACCGACAGCTGGGGCGCCTGGGTGGCTCGGTCGGTTGAGCGACTGCCTGCGGCTGGGGTCATGATCCTGGAGTCCCGGGATCGAGTCCCGCGTCGGGCTCCCTGCTCCTTGGGAGCCTGCTTCTCCCTCTGACCCTCCCCCCTCTCATGTGCTCTCTCTCTCTCAAATAAATAAATGAAAATCTTTAAAAAAAAAAAAAAAAAAAAACAAGGGCGCCTGGGTGGCTCAGTCGGTTGGGACTGCCTTCGGCTCAGGTCATGATCCTGGAGTCCCGGGATCGAGTCCCGCATCGGGCTCCCTGCTCCTTGGGAGCCTGCTTCTCCCTCTGACCCTCCCCACTCTCATGCTCTATCTCATTCTCTCTCTCAAATAAATAAATAAAATCTTTAAAAAAAGAAAAAAACAACCAAAAACAAAACCAAAAAACCCGACACCAGAAGTCCGCTTTCACAAATTGCACACTCTCTTGGGCCTTATTTGGTCCAGGCCTTTTTCATAAAATGAATGAATTTCTGAGTCATGTAACTGGCCCAGATTACCAAAAAATGGATTTGCCATTCTGTGAAGTGGGGAGGAGCAAATAGAGGAAGTTTAGAGGGAAACTCAGGACTCCGGTTTTGGACGTTGTCGATTTGAAATGTCTATGAGACCACAAGCATGTGTTAGGGAGGCATTTCAACCAATGACTGAACATTGGAAGAGAGTTCAGCCTTGATAAAATAAAGGAAATTTTCAACTTTCCGTGTTTGTGGGCCCTGCTTTTTGGGCTCTCAGGGAAGCTATACTTTAGCATTTACCAAAGTCAAAATGACTTGGCAAAACATCAAAGCATGGGCTCTATTTCTGCCCCAAGCACACACTGCACATCTGCTTTGTTGAAAAAAATAACCGAAAAGGAACATTCTAAACATAAAGAAAAGAAAAGAAAAAAAAAATCCCTCCTTGGTTCCCATTAGATTAAAGTCATACAGTTTTGCACATACTAAAAACATAAGACAAAGTCTGTAACTTTCTGGAATGCCCTTGGTCATGATGATTTGTAACTCCATGTAAAAACAAAAATATAACACTGAGGGGCACCTGGGTGGCTCAGTCGTTAAGCGTCTGCCTTCGGCTCAGGTCATGATCCCAGGGTCCTGGGATCGAGCCCCGCATCGGGCTCCCTGCTCTGCGGGAAGCCTGCTTCTCCCTCTCTCGCTCCCCCTGCTTGTGTTCCCTCTCTCGCTGTGTGTCTCTCTCTCAAGTAAATAAATAAAATCTTTAAAATATATATATATATATAACACTGAACCAAATGTTCCTTCCCCAGACCACTCTCTTCTTTGTGAGTGTATACTGGTCAGCTGTCCTAACTTGAGCTTAAATAAAACTCTCTCTTTAAAATTTTAAAAAAGGTTTGTTCATTTTGTGTGGACCCTTCACCTATATTTCAAATCATGATACTAGGTAAGACCATCAGAGGAATGAGTGTAGACTGGAGAAGAGAATGGATGGAGCATGAATCCTGGACCAACTTGGCTTTGTTAACTGGTTGATGTCAAGAAACCAACAAACTCCCATTATGGATTCTAATGTCCAATCAGAGGTACATTAAGCAATCTTAGAAGTCACCACTGGTGATTTTTTTTTTCATAACTGTGGAGCTGAGAGAATCAAATGCATCTTTGATGATTTGAGGATGCATACAGATTGAGAACCGGAATCAGGGAGTATAGAAATGCCCTTGAGTTAATATTTCTAAGATGTGAGAGAGTCATAGTGACAAGTTATTAATTAGGTCAAGGAATGAAGACTATATCAAGAGTTCTGCTGAGAACTAGTAAGATATATGTTTTATAAATATTTACATGTATACATCTTTTATAACTATATGGTGTATATATGTGTATTGCATATACATATGTAGGTACAATATGTATATGAGATTTATTTCAAGAAATTCACTTATATGATTGTGGGGCATGGCAAGTTTTACTCTATCCATAGGGTAGAGGGTAGGCTAGTGGGCTGGAAAGTTTCCAGAC